GAATTTGAGAAATTTCTATAGACACCATCACAAAATGCCGAATCCGTGGCTCACAGCTTTGGCATCTACCTGTCACATCTATGGAATTTATTTCTCAAAAAATTATGTCATGCCTTTGGACATGGCAACATCTCTTTACTAAAGGATCATCTAATTCAGCAAACAGCAATACAAATCATCTAATGCTTCTTTTAAATGTGTTTTGACAATTTCCAGTAGTTGCCTCTTTAGTAGGAGAGATTATTACACAGATAAATTTTGTACTGGAACAAAATGCTGTTAATATTCATTGATGTACATGCTCTTTTAAATTATTTGTTTCATGGAAATTAATACGTGGTCAGCAAAATTAGATTCTCTGCTCCCTTTTGACAGCTAAAAGATTGATACTACAGCATCAGAAAGATAAACATTTATCTCCTATAATGCAGACTAAAGATCTTTCAATGCTTCCACGATTTGAACAAGTGGGATATTGATGCGACCTTCAAATAGATACTTATTTTACTATTTAGTTCACACTGAGAAACCTGTATATAATTGCCAGAAAGCTGTACGCAATTTGTACAAAACTGTTTGCATATATGGAACGGGAAAAGATTTTTAAAAATACAGGTGCCCATGGGCACCACATTGGAGACCCCTCGGTGGGTGCTAGTGGAGGCACCCATGAGTGCCAAGGGGCTCTCAGGCACCCTGTGGGAATCCTTGCTCTGTATAGACCAACTGATTTTGGACCTGTGGGCACATTTGGGAGTCTGAGAAACTGCTGCAAGCACCACCACAAAATGCATGATATGGTGTTAGCTAGTCACCTAATGGCTGCTATCACAGGACGGCAAGTCAGAAAATGGAGGGAAACGGCAAGCCCCAGGCTGGGAAGAAAACAGCAAGGGAAAGAGGGAAAGGTCGGAGAGAGAGTGTGGCTGGGGCTGGGAGGAAACAGGTAAAAGGAGAAGAGAAATAACAAAGCTGGAGGATGGGAATGGAGAGAAACAGCCAGGTAAAGGTTGAGTGGAATAGAAAAAGGGGCTTGGAAGGAAGAGAAAGGCAGCGAAGGACCTGATGCCTGCACACTTCCTTCTTTTTTGGAAGGGGGCAGAGTGTGGAGAGCCTTGTAGGTCTGCTGCACTGAGCAACCCCTGGGTTGGATCACTGTGATCCCCAGGGAAGACCTCGCTGATTGTATCATGTCTGCCCTGGCCTGCCCAGCAGCAACAAGGCAAGTGACAATACCTGGACCCTGGCATGGCACGGACCATCACATTCTATTATTCAAAACATACCTGCTCACCAGAGCTTTTCCCAACCATCAACTGTATTTGGAGTACACCTTAAGCAAGCAGGACTCACTAGGGAAGACAATAATGCTAGGGAAAGCTGAAGTTTGAAGGAAAAGGGGAAGACCAACTATGAGATGGCCATGAAGGAAACCACAGCCATGAGTTTCCAAGAGCTGAGCACAGATTTGTCTAAGGGGAGTACAATCTTGGCAGCCCTATTTTCAATTCCATTTCTAATTGTGCATAACATGGAGTCTGCAATCCTGCACAGTGCTGCCCTTCCCAACCCAGCACTCTCCAGGAGTGTTAAACTGGAACTCCCATAATTCCCAGCCAATCACCGTGCTGACTGGGAATGGCCTGAGGTGTGGTCCAACATATCTGGAAGGCAGCTGCTTGGAGAATGCCGATTTACAGCTCTCTGCTTGCACTGTATGCAAGAATTTATTTGCTGCTTTCCATCATAAAAGCTAGAAATATATAGATTATTTTTGGTAAAAGAGTAGGTGTAGCTCTGAACTCTGCAGTAATGTGTACGTCTGCAGCACCACTGCATACACAAGATGCTCACCCTCTTTATTGATTCACAGCACTACATACATATCACAATGTTGCTGGGAAAGCACCATACAGTGCCAGGAATAACATCTCCTCCAGTATCAGTTACCACCTTGATGTTACGACCTCTGTAATTGAGAAGGAAATTGTTCCGTGTCAGCACAGCCTCTTGTCCTAGATGCCCTAAATACAGTGTTCCACAATAAAAAAAATTTAATTTATACTGAAGTCTACTCAAGAATAGGCTGCTGCACAGACATGTCCACCATTTTAGCATTCAGTTCCACATGACATATGCATTTGACTCTAAACTTCCATTTAAACATGATTTCCTACGCTTCATAACAGAAACTGTGCCAGTGTAAAACAAAACATAAATGCTGTTTGTTTTACTATGCAAAAGAAGTAGATACACTATTGAACGTTATCTGTGTACTCATTTGATCAATATCCCACCCTTCAGTAGGTTCTCAAGACAGCACAGAAACAGATAAAATCACAATAAAACAAATCAAAACAAAAAAGGAACATTAAAACAAATGTCAAAAGTTATGGGAGTTCTAGACCGCAACATCTGAAGGAAACCAAACTGGGTAAGGGAATGGAACTCATTGACACCAGACTGTTTGATAGAGTTCAGCAGAGAGGAAGACTTTCAGTAGCTATCAGTAAATTTAGCTTGAATCTTCAAAGCTCAGAAGCAGTACATGGCGGAATATGAGAAAGCATAAAGGACTAAAAGAGAGGAGGAAAAGAGAAAACAGATAGCAGAAGCTGAGTTACAAAGCTCAGGAGGGTCACGGTGCTAGATCTAAGCAGAATGGAAGGACTGCCACTATCTCTGCCCCAGGATATCAACAGTGGCAGTCAGTAGTCTCCCAGCTACAACTGAACCCAGGCTTAATACAAGGGTCCCCACTGCTGCTTCCTCTCCTACTGATAGCATTAGAAAGGGTAGTTGCTGCCGGAGAATAGGTAAAACCTGCTCCTGGTGTTTGGCACATCCTTAGCCTCCTCTTCACCTCCTTACATTTCTGCACACCATTGCATCTGCTTCTGCCCAGGAAATCTTGTGCCAAAGATATCCAAGGAGAGGAGAAAGGGGGCACCAATGGGCTGAGCACCATCAACAATCATTTCAAGAATGACCATACAGAAGAGGAGTAGAATATTTTATTCCAGACTTCAACATCACAATCCTAGGCACAAGCAGCTGCTGTATACTGAACTAGACCATATGGCCCAGGTTACGAATCACTTGTTTACACTGACTAGCCACAGCTTTCTAGGGTTTGGGGGAAGTTCCAATTAGGTTAATTTCCAGGTAATACTTAGGTCTGTCTCCATTTTTAAAAAACGCAACCATAAATGTGTCCAGCAGGGGGCAGCACGAGGCCTGCAAGCCACACTACAGGCCCCAGACTTTAAGTTTCAGAGAGCTGAGGCTTATTTGAAGTCTGAAAACGCCAATAGCCCTTTCGAAACCCACAAATACATAATGATCATGTAGTATCATGATGAGACAGATAACCATAAATTTTGCCTTGGCAGCAAGGAAGTTCAGAACAAGAGAACTAGATAAAACTGCTCTGCAGTTTTAATTTGTATTAAAAATTTGTTTCTTATACCATTGTGATCTATTCATTCTATCTATTCAGGGTAATAGATGATCCTCAGAATAAGCTTAAGCTATAAACTTTTGCCAGAATAATAAAACTGTTAACCTTCAACGTGTCTCAAGGCTGTTGCTTTTGCCAGAAGTTGGGACGTTCTGTAGCATACTTTAACAGTCACCATATGCCAGCAAAAACAATTCATTTAATAGTGAAACTGTTGTATTTCAGTTCTTTGGTGTATTTGACACTATGGAATTTGGTCTCCACAGGTCTTGGAAATTCTTATCTCACCATAGAAGGAAACCAGAGTCTCTCTAGTTCAGCTTTCCCCCAACCTGCTGCCCTCAAGATATGTTGGACTGCATCTCCAGTAATTCCCAGCCTGCATGGCCATGTCTTGAGGGCATCAGATTGCAGAAAGAAACAAAAAAGCTGTCAGCTCCAGGGAGAAGTGACCCATTGGCACCTCAGGGTGTGGACAGGGCTGGTGCCACATTTGCATTCCCCAGGGTGGGGTGGTACTAAGGGGAGGAGAAGGAAGCAAACACTCAGTCCAGGATGTAGAGGTGACTGTTGCAAGGAAGCCAAAGAGCTGCTGAGGGAAGAGAAAGGTGAGTGAAGGGCTAGCACAGGGGGTGTATGGTCAAAGCTATGTCCCCTTCTCTGCTCTTGCTCCTGTGCAGAAGCAGCACAGGTTCTACTCACCTGCCGGCCAAGCAGGGAAAGTGAGCGGCACCTGCAAAGTGCAGCCATCCCTGCTTGCTTGCCTGCCCACCCACCCTCTGCCCTTGCACACCTGGGTGGAGGACTTGGGCTGGCTGCTGCTCCTTGTCTCCACCACAGCTTGCTCAGCAGGGCAGGCAGGCAAGGGACTGAGTGGCGACTGCTGTTTCCCACCACATCCCTCCAGGCTGCAGCATGGGGGCTGCTAGTGAAACGTACACGCAGCCACTGGTCAAGGCAGGCCATGGGCCAATCCAACCCTCCTACAGCAGCCTTCTCCCCACAACCTGGTGCCCCCCATATATTTTGGATCACAATGCCTGCAGTGCCAGAGCACTGGTCCTGCTGCCTGGGGCTGCTGGGAGCAGCAATCCAAAAGAGCACCCGTCTGGGGATAAAGCTGTCTCCGGAGTGGTAGTGAGCAGCCAGGGGTGGGTCCCCTGGGAGGTAGCCACACTGGGCCCAGTCCCAACTCCCGTATTGCTCAGAGGGAGCGAGAGGAGGGCTGCCATGGCGGCCCTTCATGCAATCACGCGGCTTGTCAGACACCAGGGCAGCGAGGACGGCCCCTGCCAGCGGCCGCGCTTCCCCGGGCAGGGGAGGGGTGCTGGCACCCTCGGGCGCGCGCCCCGGTGTCAAGGTCGTCGCCCGCCCGACTCTCTCGCTCTGGGTGGCCCAGCACCACGCCTGAGAGCGGAGGAGCTTCCCGGAGAGGAATTGGGGGGCTGGGTGGGGTGAACCTCGAGGTTTGCTGCACCGCAAAACCCGGAAGCGGCAAATGAGAATTGCGAAAGGCGCCCACAGACAGCCTCCGGCGCTCAGATAGATCCGGAGCGTCCGGCCCCTTTAAGCCCGTAAGAGCACGCCTCGTCTCCTACGCAGGCGGAACCAAGCCTGGGGACTGGAGGGCTAAAGCAAGGAGGAAGTGAATGGCCGGCCTTCCTTTCCTCCCCTTCCCGAAAGAAGGGAATGGGAGTCAGCGTTGCCTTTCCTGACAAGGCCGGGGTCCTACCCTGGCTTTTCGTGTGCTCCCCGAAGAAACCACGTTTCCTCGGCTGCACGTCCCGACTGCGGAGTCGATGAAACCAACGGGTGCCTCCGCTCTGTCTCCGGCGCCGCTACCACCCGGCCGTAGTTCTGAAATTGCCCAGTGCTTTGCCGCCTGCTTTTAGCGTGGGGTTTTTATCCTGCATGCTGCTGAGCTGCCCCGTCTGGCTGCTTGACCCTCGGCGAGCAGCATTCCCACGTCCGGGAGCACTCCTCCATTCCTTTCCATCATGAACAGGGTGCAGCTGAAACGCTCGGCGATCCTGAAGATGGCCCTCACCGGGTCCTCGGAGCCCCTGCTCCAGCAGGAGAAGGAGGACGGGGAAGTGAACAGCGGCGGCAGGGAGCCGCCGTTCTTGTTCCGGGCTATACGGATCGCCGCGGTGGTCTCCCTCTATTGGTTCATCTCCATCACCATGGTCTTCCTCAACAAGTACCTGTTGGACAGCCCGTCGCTGCGCCTGGACGCGCCGCTCTTCGTCACTTTCTACCAGTGCCTGGTCACCGTCCTCATCTGCAAGCTCCTCAGCTTCCTGGCCTCCTACTGCCCGCCGGGTTACCTGGACTTCCCCTCCCTCCGCATGGACCTGAAGGTGTCCCGCAGCGTCCTTCCTCTCTCGGTGGTCTTCATCGGCATGATCACCTTCAACAACCTGTGCCTCAAGTACGTCGGCGTGGCCTTCTACAACGTGGGGCGCTCGCTCACCACGGTCTTCAACGTTCTGCTCTCGTACCTGCTGCTCAAGCAGACCACTTCCCTGTACGCTCTTTTGGCCTGCGGAGTGATCATCGGTGAGTGGAAGCATTCCAGCGGCCCGAGCAAGGACCCCTGGAGTGCATTGGCAGCTTTCCCCAACGTAGTGCCCTCCGGAGGTTTTGGCCTTCCACTCCCATCAGCCCCAGCCAGCATGGTCAGGAATGTTGGGAGTGGTAGTCCAAGCTGAGGAATGTTGGGAGCGGTACTCCACCAGGTTGAGGAAGGTTGTGTTATGGAAAGCCTATGCATTTTCTATTGATGAGAGTTTTCTGTTGTTTAGCGTTGACAACCCTGGCCAGTGCATTTTGACCCCGTGCTCATTTACTCTGAATGCATACTCCCAAGAAAGCATGTCTAGGTTTGTAGGAATGAGCAGAAGAACTTTAAATGATTTGCTGTAGGGCTTTTTACTTCAGTTGTTTAGCAACAGCCGCAACAGAAGTTCTGTCTTCCCACACCCTGTGCATACTCCCCAGTCCAAATTAGGCTTTTACAAATAGTGATCTGTATTAGTCTTACTATTATTATTATTTCTTCAACACTATTACTTTAATAAGAGACTCAAGGCAGCTTTCAGCAAAATTAAAGTGTGCAAAATTGAAAATTTAGTAGATTTTTATTCAGGTCACAAAGTAAGTTCTTGGTTCCCCTCCCTTCCCTATTTTGCATGACTGACTAGATCTTTCATGCTTGAAGTCAGGCTTTTCCTGCCCTAAGGATGGCTACTTAAGGTTATACATGTAGATTAATTTCCCCTTAATTTCCCCTTTATAACAATCCTGACATACTCATAGTGGCTAAAGATCTATTCACAGTGCAATACTATCCTCGTACATGTCCACTTAGATGGAAGCCCTACTGCATTCAGTGAATATCATTTGCAGGTAAGGGGGTATAGGATTTCAACCTAGAAGGTGGATATGCATGCATACTTCTAATCTGTACTGGCAACTGAGCGCAGAAGGGAGGGGATTGTACTAATTTATGCGGCTGTTTCAAAATGAAAAAACATGATTTCTGCTTCAAGTTTATAAAAGGACCACCTGAGAAACAAGTTGGATTTTTTTAATGTTCTGTCTTATGACAGGAAATAATACATGAGATAGAAGTGTTCTAACACTATATAGATTTTCTTGTTAATTTAGACATCTAGAGAATCTCTGCAGATTGGGGGAAAAACTAGCAGCTGAAAGGCAACTAAAATAATAGCATTGCTTTAGCTCCACCAGAACAGAAGTTGTGCAACTGAGATAAAGGGTTTTTTTCCTGCCTGTTTTTGCAGAATAGGGAAGCAAATCTAGTGGCTGCATGCAAAGAATAGTTAAAACAACCTGCTGCCTTCCAGAGCTGCTGGATTACAGCTTCCATGAGCTCTAAACAGCATGGCCAAACTTCAGGGATGAGGTGGGTTGCTGGCCAAAATGTCTGTAGGATAAATGCTACTGCCCTTCTGTAGAGAAATAGTAAGCTTTGAAAGTTGCTTAAGACTCCAGCTTTGACACTGAAATATTTGCTGATTAATTCCTCTCCCACCTTCCTTTTCAACTTTCCCCAAATAAGCTTAAAACATGTGAGGGGTTTTCCCTTTAGAGGTTTAAGCAAGGGTGGACAACGTGTGTCCCTCTAGGTGTTTTGGTCTACAGTTACCATGATCCCTTACCATAGGTTTTGCTGACTAAGAGTAATGGGAGTCAGAGGCCAGAACATCTGGACTAAGAGTCAAAAACTTACTTAAATTTAAAAGGGCCTCGGTCCTGACCAATCTCAGGTCTCCTTAATTTTAGCAATTTACTGCATCATGTGCCATAATACCATCATGTGGATGTTACTTCCAAGGAAGTGTGCATGGGATCAGAGGTTTGATCCTTGAGGGATTTTTTCAAAAGAAAATTGAGAATATTTATCAGGAACATACAGCTAACTCCTTGTAATCTGTGATCTGTGTTCCATTTCTCTAAGACTCCCAGCACAACAGGAAAGTATATCAGCAAATCTCCAAAGGGAAGCAACACTTAGAGCAGAAGCCTAACCGCCCCTCAGAGGCTGAGAAGGTGGTATCATTCAACTAGTGGTGAGCATGTGTGCCCTGATAGCACTGGAAAGCTCCACGGGCATAGATTTACCTCCAGTGATGGATCCAAGGTCCCTCTGCTATGCCAGCCTGGATCTGTTGGAGCAAATTCCCACCCATTGGTTTCAGTGAGCTGAAGGAATTCTAGAAAACAAAAGTTCACTAGGCTTGAAATCTCTCTGTCCTGCAACTCCTGCCATGGCCAGTGTAAATTAACCAGGTTTTGGAGGCAGCAGGTGATTGCCCACTCCTGCCATGCCAGTTGAAAAATCCTTGCTGTTCCCATTGCTCCTTGTACATACAAGTTTTCAGAGTCTGAAATTTAGGAATTTGTGAATTGTTTAAGTGGCTAATTTTAATGGAGGTCTCCTGCTTTTCCCACTTTTGGCTAGGATCTCAACCAATCCCTTTGCCTTGCAGGTGGCTTCTGGCTTGGTATAGATCAAGAGGAAGCGGAAGGCTCTCTGTCATGGGCCGGCATACTTTTTGGCATCCTGGCCAGCCTCTGTGTCTCACTCAACGCAATTTACACTAAAAAAGTACTGCCTGCCGTGGACAGCAGCATCTGGCGCCTGACGTTTTATAACAACATCAATGCCTGTGTCTTGTTCTTGCCACTGATGCTGCTCTCTCGTGAGTTCTCTGCGCTCTACCATTTTGATAAGTTGGGGAGCATGAACTTCTGGTGCATGATGAACCTGAGTGGGGTGTTTGGCTTTGCCATTGGTTATGTGACAGGGCTTCAAATCAAATTTACCAGCCCACTCACTCACAATGTATCAGGGACTGCAAAGGCATGTGCCCAGACAGTGATAGCTGTCTTTTACAATGAAGAAACCAAGAGCTTCTTGTGGTGGACTAGTAACATGATGGTTCTAGGTGGCTCTTTTGCCTACACGTGGGTGAAAGGGCTGGAGATGAAGCAGGTTCAGGCAGAACCTCTTCCCAGAACTAATGAGAAGAATGAGACTGGTGTCTAAACATTCCCATCCTGCTTCTCAGTGTGGGCATGGACTGCCTCCATGCATGTGTGCGTGGAGTGAAATTCAACTGGGAAGAGAGCCAGGGTTTGGAGCCCGCAAGGCAGGAAAATCTTGTGGCTGCAAATATGTGCAGATGGAAGGAAGAAGATGAACCAAGCTTCCCACATTTAGTGGTAGTTGCAGTATATTTATGGGAAAAGGAGAAATGTTTACAACTTATTTTCAATGAAGAAGGTGGAATGTGTTGGTGGTGGGATCAGATAAGGGTCCTTTTGAGCTCAGATAAGGGTCCTTTTGTTAATTAAGGCACGCTTGATAATGGATAGTGTGCACCCATTTTCCCCTTGATAAAAGATATGCATGCTGCTATGACAACAGCAAATATTATGTTTAATTCAGTCAAAAACAGGTGAATCATGGCTCTACTGACTATTGAGCAGAATACATTCTCTGTAAGTACACCTATTCTCTTGCTCACTATTCTTAGAAAACACACTTAGCAATCCAATATACTTGCTGAGGGGATGGCTAAGAACACTCAGCTGGAACCATCCAAGGTTGGTGTGCTGCCCCAATGGAGCAAATTTGAGCTAAAAAAATAAAATGTTACAAGCTTACAAGCTTTGACAACAAATTGAAATAAATTGGAGACACTGAAGCATACACATTTGTGCATTGTGTAGCATTTTGGCTGATGCCCTTTTTTTATTCACCAAGTTTATTTTTCAGGAGGTTATCATCCCTCTGGGCCACCTCACTAGAAAGGAGTTTAACATGAGAAAATACGAGAGAGATTTTGACAGTGCTGTTGTCTAGTTTCAAAATTTACTGAGAAATTCCAGCTCTTAACTGAACAGTTGTTTCGATACAATGTACCGTCCTTCTCCAATTGCTAATGAAGCAGGAGATGCCAATGGCTGGCTTGACCTACTTTTAGTAAACTCTGAAGACGCTGAAATGGCAGCATGCCCTTTTTTGAGTAAGAGGATTTTCCCCATTTAATACACTCTCTTCTTGAGTCTTCATGGGCTCCAGGAGCCCAAATCCCATTGGAATTTTTAATTCTCTTTTTTGCCTTTAGCTTTTGACTGTACCCCATTTTCCATTTCTTTAATTTTGTACTGAGAAATGAATCTTCCACTATTGATCTTTGATTGTTAAATTTAGTTTAATAAAAGTTTGGTTTGGTATTTCTGAAGTGTTTTTTGTGGGGGGTTTTTTGGATGTAGAAATGGTGGGAGCAGAGGTCCTAGTGGCTAAATTAGGAGGATGCTACAGGAAACTGGGAAAAGTGCTAAGCAGAAGGTTTGTTGTAAACTAACCCATAGTTTTAAAGTTTTTCTCACTGCTATACTTCACTGCTAGACTGCTGCTGTAGTTGCAGCTTGTAGAGGCTGCACGGAACAGGTGGTCCGACTATTTGATCTCTGAGCTCTCTTGAGTCAGCACACTAGATCATTGTTCTCCAAATTTATTTGGGCTGCTGCCCCCTTTTCTCTTGGGCAACAACCCTAGCACCCCCAGGCCTCTTTTTTTGTATTAGTCTATTGCTCTACTGCAAATTTAAAACAGCCAATCACGGCTTGCGGGGGGGGTAGTACCACCCACTTCAGAAATCACTGCACTGGATGTTTGCTTCAAGTTGATGGCATTTTGGAGCACCTACATCATACATGGTCTGAGGCCAGTTCCATCTACATGAAGAGTATATGAGAATTGGTGCACCTGAGGTGAGAATGTTTGCCCTTTCCACAATAGTGAAAGAATTTAGGCTTCCATATTTGTTTCTTCTGCATTAAAATGGCATATATTAGTTCAGAATGGTTGATTTAATGACGACTACAAAAGCAGTTACCCTTGATTTTCTTCAGCTTATGAAATTATGCAGTTTGACCCAGAATAAATGATAAACATAGAAGAACAGAAGGAGTACACAACTCTCACCAGAAAAAGTTAAATAGCTGAAGTACTAGGAAGATGACAAACATTGGAAATCAAAGTCTGCCTTTACTATGAAGAGCCTAGAGTTGCCTTACAGTATGCCAAATGTATGCAGACACCAGTACAACTATAGTTAAAGAACAGACTGCCAGATTTCTGTCACCTTGACTCCAAACCACATGTGGTAAACCAGCGTCACACCTAGTTCATGACTGGCACTTCTAGGCTATTAAAAACCAGGAGACAGGCTCCCTTAAACTATGGCCTACAACTCATGACAATTTGGCCTTTTATAGTGTAATCCATGTATATTCAGAAGTGAGCCTGTGTGTGTGTGTGTGTGTGTGTGTGTGTGTGAGGGAGGGAGGGAGGGAGGGAGCATGCACACATGTAGGGCTAGAGCCATGATAAAACAAAATCAGTATCAGAAACATTCACAGAAGTGTAATAAAGTGGCCAACATAGGCAGTCTCAAAAATGGGACATATGAGACAAAGCATTTTTATTCAGTGTTCAAAAAAATAGATTGACTTTACTTTTAAGCTGAATTGATTTGCCTCTAAACCATATTGTTTGGTTTTGCTGGTTGAAGAGTTATTACACCTTTTTAGCATACAATATTATGGTTTTTGTGTTTGTTTTTAGATGGACAGTTTCTACATTTTTAAAAATTATAGTCTCTACAGGAAAGAATTGTGTAAGCCAAGCTCTTTCATAAACTATGTCTTTGTACTTCTTTTGCATTTTTGGAGCTATGACTACAATAACTACTTTAGTGCGTCTTAGAGAGCCATCGTATGGTCTCTGGACCAGAGGATGGCTTAAGAACTATCCCACCCCTGAGATTAGAGACAGTGTGTGGAGGTTGGAAGAGTGATATGAAGATTTGATCACAAAACTTTCCTCCTCACAGTCAGAATGGAGGAAACCATGCCAAGTGCTTCTTTAAGGATGGAAAAGTGACCTTGGAGGAAGAAGAAGAAGAAAGGTGTTCTGCTGTATGGGAGGAAAGGAGACTGGAAAGGCCCAGATATGAGTTACCCTGGATCCCCTCCAGACTCTTTCCCTTCCCATCTGAAGATCCTTCACTAAACAGGCTGAAAAGTCAGTCTAGCAAAATCAGGAAAGGCAAAGGATGGGGAGGTGAAGATCACCTTTGCTGCTGATCCTGCCTTGCTGGCTTCAATCTAGCAGGTCATAGGAAATTTGGAAGCCTTTAAGTTACATGGTTTCTAAGCAGTGAGGGTGCAATCAATAGGATTGTGCTCTTATTCAACATTTTCCTTTTTAATGCTTACAATTTAATTACATTCATACAAAAACAGTATTTTACATAGGTTGCTTCCTAATAAAGGAACCCACCAAAATCACCTTAAATGTTGCTCTATGTTATCCATTAAATGGTCTATATTTGTGCATATTACTCTTTAATGGGCTAGAGCTGACCAGACAGCATACCTGTGTGCAACCAAGAATATCTTAGCTATATATTCTCCACGACTGAGTATTCAAATTGGCATGAGCAAAAACAGGTTTTGGAGATACCTTCTGTGTGTCCTGTTTACCTGGGGAAAATTGGTCAGCACCTTGGTTCAAAACAGAGTCCCACATGGGTGGAACTTATTGAGTCATTCCTGCTTTAGGGCTGCTGGTACCCTATGTGCTCTCTCTCAGACTGGGGTGATTGCTTTTACAGCATTGGACCCCAGCTTTCTGCTAGTGGTTGTCTACATCAGTTCCATTGGACCAGTTTAATTGCCCTCAATGATATAATAAGATGCTGTAATAGGATTCTACTTGCAAAGTTCAGATAGGCTTTTTTCAGCTCAAGGTATGAATGACACTGTTCTTGGATTCCCCAAAGGTAATGGCAGCAGCTACACTTTGTTACTGGCTCAGAGAGACTATTAAAAGGATGATTGCAGGAAGGGGAACATTATTGCTATTTACCTTGTTAGGAAAGAAATCTTATGTAAGATACTGCCTGGGCAAATGTACCCTTTATAGAAACTAGCAAATAAATAAGTGTGTAGTCCATATAAAGCAGGGGTTGGACCCTCCACATGTTGCTGCTCTATAAGCCTGTGGCTGATTTATTTATTACATGTTTATATCGCCCAGTACCTGAAGCTCTCTGGGCTGTTCACAACAAATTAATGGCTGATAAAGTTGTAGTGTAGCAACATGTGGCCCATGTATTCTTCACTACTGCATACAGCAGAAACCCTTTGAGAGCAGGCAGTGAGCAAGCATTGAGGGAGTATGGGGCCAATCAAAAAGGCAGCAATATGGTCAATGGAGGGTAGGGATGGCCATCTCAGGCACCTGAGCCAAGCAATGCCTGCTTGCCGGTGGCTGGGCAGTTACCCCTAGCGTGTTCTTACCAAGCAACACAGACAGTGTTACTAAGAAAAGCCTTTGACTGAACAAACAGGTACAGCAGGGATCTCCAAGCTGCCTGGGTTGCTGGCCATTTTGAGAGTGCTGTGGGTACTCTCTCAAAAATGGCTGCCATGGTGGGAGGCAACACTTGTCCATTAACAAAATGGTGGCTGTGCACTGCAGCAAGGACAGAGCTGTGTGTGCTCATTCCAGCCTGCTCGCCCAAGGTAGTTTGCTGCTGTACCTCAGGCATCATAGAAGGTGGCTGTCCTGCTGGCAATGTTGATGTGCGAGTCAAGTGCTGGTCCAGTTGGCTGCTTCTGCTTATGGGATGGGGGAGGTTGCCATCTTGTCCTTTGTCCTCAGGAAGCCAAATGCCTTGCTCTGGCCCTGGGTGCAGCCTGCAGTGCTTTGCATGCATCATCACATTTCTTGAGGTCTAGGGTCTAGGATGATAAAGCTGACATTCTTTTTCCTCCCATCTCCAGGAGGGCTCCTGTGCCTTTAAGTTTGCATTAGGACACAGACACTGAAGCTGCTAGATTTCTTTACCTTACAGGAATTAAATGTGCAGAGGCCTTCCCAGAACTGAAATAGACAACCCTAGGTTAGGAAGGGGTTGACAAGAGCAGCTTTCTTCAGCTTAGGTACTAAAGGCTGCCGCTTTGAATGTTGCTGCCTCACTGCACCTGCCAGTTGTAATGCTAAAAGGGAAACCTGTTTTTCCTGTTTTAAATTCACCAGCATTACCATAGGAACAGATTACAGGTTATCAAGCCAAAGGATTAGGTATTCCATAACTCTGCTAGCAACTCACAGAGCTAGAAAAGTGTAGAAAGCCACTGGGCCCAACTTGCTGTTTCCTATGTATCAGTCTTTGCAGAGACTAGTCCACATAACTCAGGGAACTTGTGCCATAAACAAAAAGCACTCCTGTAAACCATCAGGTTTTCAGTTTGGGAATGCTCCTGGATTCAGCAGAATAGCTGGAAATTCAAGTTTCCTCTGTGACCAGTAGAGTTAACACTATTACTAACATTTTTATTGTAATGGCAGCCCAGAGAGCGCGATGCTAACAGGCAGTTTTTATACAAACAAATAACATACTAATAGTGACAAGACTGAATAGATACAATTCACTTATACACAGCATAAATGCAATGATGTTGTAATTTGAAAACTGAAAGCTTCCCATGAAGCAGCTGCACACCCAATAAGTGTGCACAAGAAGGAAGTCCTAGTGTTGTCTTAAAAGTCTTCCATATTAATCTATTCAGAACTATTTTTATTGAGGATTGCTATGTCAGAGACAACTTGACAAGAACAACCACCCCATTGGTTTCAGTGAGTTCATTTCCAACATAGACGTGTGCCTACCTATTTTCTCATGCATGCCTTTCCTAAACATTGTTTTTATTGCACCCTCCTCTGTCTACATAAGGTACTGATGACAAGGAGCGCTACACTGGATGTTATGATGGCTATACCTAGTCTTTAAAAAGATTGCATAAATGTATCGTCGCAAGACCTGCTGTTGGTTATCAACCAGCATAATTTCTGGAACCATAAACTTCGTGCTTATGAACAGCATACCGCCGACAACCAGATGTTGGCGACAAACAACAGGAGAGTGCTTCCTCCACCCTTGCGTGTGCCCTTCTCAGTATCATGTATGCATCCAGGTATATGGGGAAGCGAACCCCTCCGGCTTCCGAGGACAGAAGCACACCTGAGGCTAGGCTTGTACTCGTTTCCACGCAGCACGGCAAACATGCACGCCTCTCAACGTCTGTCGAGGGAGGGAGAAGCTCCGTACAAATTAGCACTGGTTTCTAGACATACACTTCATGAGGCATTAGAGCTGACGGGGACACGTTTCAGCTAGAAGCCCCGCTGAAATAAGATGCCACCCGTTTTATTCTGTGTCAAGCCACATTCCCAGACAAAACGGCTCAAGTTCCAACCGCTGCCTGATGACGTAAATAAAAATACTTGGCGCGGTGCAGGAGCGTGCTATCAAACTGTTTAGTAACACTTTTTTAAAGCATTCCATACATAAGACGCCAGCCTTTGCACCGATTGGCACAAGCTGTGCCCTCGAAGCAGGGCCAGCCAATCACCAGCTCTTGGCAACTCGGCGCTCCACCCCCGCAATGGCGCGGCCTCTGCCCATCCCTCCGCCTCCTACAGATACACGCCACAAAAACGTGCAGCACCTCCTCCGCCCCCTCGGAATCTTGAGCTCGGGCGGGTTACGCCGCTCCGGCGGCCAATGGGCTTCAGAGGGTGGGGTCGCGGGCGGGCGCGCGCGCCGAGTGGAGGCGGGGACGGCGCTGAGAGTGGCGATTACGGACTTGGGAGGAGCAGAAGCGGACGGAGCGCCTGACGACGTGGTGGCGTGTGCGGTGTCTGGCTTGACCGACGATGGCTGCTCCTTCGGCTGGCCGCCCCTCGGGCTCCTGCTCCGTGCACTGGTTCCGGCGGGGTTTGCGGCTGCACGATAACCCTGCGTTGCAGGCGGCCATCCGAGATGGCGGTTCCGTGCGGTGCATCTACATCTTGGACCCCTGGTTCGCGGCATCCTCTGCTGTTGGCATCAACCGCTGGCGGTGAGTCGCGGGGAGGGAGGGAGGAGGCCTGTGTTTCTGCCTTGGTGGTGGAGGACCTCAGGAAGGTCGTATGGCCGCAGTTCCTCTGTGACTCGGGTCTATGCCCGCGGGCACACCCTTGTGACACGTATGATTAAATAGTGTTGCGGACGTGCGCAGTACGCACATTTTTGGGAGTGGGTGAAGTGTCCTCCAAAGGGAAATGTCATTGCACGGATCAGTTAAAATAAGTGGGCGCCAAATGGACCCAGAGGAGTCTGGGTGTTCCGGCCCTGTGGAGATCTGTGGGGGCAATTGATAGCTCAAGGGGAAAAGGGACATGGGGAAATCCAGCCTCTGAAGGCAAGAAGTCGAAACAGGACGGAGTGGAGGAGTCCAGTCCCAGTGGGGACGAGCCGTAAACCGGCGGTATAAGCATGACGGCACAAGTGCGTTGCGTTTTCCAACTAAGTCTGCATCCGCCCTACGTAGATCCTCTGGAATGAATCAGACTTAAGTTTATTGGATGTAACCTGTTTTTCTGGAGGTCATGAATTTTTCACTATCACACCAAGATTAGTATGGGATGCTTTGAACAATATCCAGGCATGATTTGTTTTCAGGGAAGCCATATGTCAGACTTAATAAGCAGGGAGAATTCATTACTGCTCTGGTATGTAGGCAGATATTAAATAAAAGGTCAACAATATGTGGGCAAAAAAACAGAAAATGATGGCACACTAGTTTACATAACAGGAGAGCTGCTGTGTGCCCGTTTCATGTACCTATTTGGGTTTTGTACAGGTGATATGGTAAGCGTCATATTTATTAGAAGTTGGTGCTATTGACTCTATTTTGGAGTCTCACAACAATTTTGGCCTAGGAACTTTGGGGTATGGGGGGTTTGAAGTTTAGTTAGAAGTACATCCAGTGGATTAGAGTGGAATATTTGTGTGTTCTCTGCATATTTAACAATTTGAACTCAGCTCTTAGCTCTGAATTTTTATGGCATTTGGAAAAAAGATAGAGAAGTGATAGAAGGGAGTAACTTTGTTGTTGCTAGCTGCTGGGAGTTGCATAGAGGCTGCACCTTCTCTAATGAGAGAGATTCTTGTCCTGCTAGTTCTGCCACATGCAGTGCACATTTAGCTTGTCTCTGCATATAGAATTCTAGGCAGGATCCTGGGAAAGCCCTTGGTTTAATCACTGGGCAAGAATTAGTCTGTATTTAAAGCCAGAGGCTTTATGTGTCCCTGTATGTCAGCTGGCAAGATTTAAAAGGTTAAGGACTGACTTGGACTGGAAAATATCTGTTGCAGCAGGTACAAGGTGATAATTTTTCAGATATATCATATCAAAAGTAGCTTAATGACGCTTCACACAGCAATTGCTATGAATGGGACTCACTGTTATTGTTTCTGAAAATCTATGGTATAATGCCAATTTAAAATAATTACTAATTCTCAGCTTCTCTAGTTTTTGGTTTACCATAATGTTTACAGGTACTAACATTTATCAGAACTGAATTATCATGGAGACTGCTGCATTCTGCTTTATGTAATATTTTATGATTTCACTTTAGCATGGGATTAGGTAATACAATCTACATTATGAATGTTGACAAGGAGGCTCGCTTCTTTTGTGACTTAATTGTATGGTCCAGGCAGGATGCAGTTCCCCTGAATTCTGTCTGATTTTCAGCCTTTCAAACATATATACATCCCTGTTCTCTGTGGCTTTAGAAAATTCTGCAGTTTTTAGGGAAAGCGAAGATTAAATAGTTTCATTTTTCCCCTGTGAGGCAGCCATGAAGGAATGTGCTCTCATTATGAGCCTGCAGCACTTTCTTGTATAGAGAACTGAAACATGTGTTCTAGCAAGCAGTTTTGGACTGCTACATTACATAATGCCAACATCTCATGAATATGTCAGATTCTATTCTCTGATAATCTGTTTAAGTGAAAACACATCTTCACAGTGATTCGTTGTCTGTGTACGTTCAGAAGAAGCAATTTTTATAAATGCACACTTTTCATATCTGTCTTCAGGATTATGGTACCTAGATACACAAAGTCACATAAGAGATGTCTCTTACCTGCCAAAGCAGCAAAGAACATATGAGAGGAAATTTAGGTAGCTTGAAATAAATTCTTGCATACTGCATTGTAAAGAAGTGAGAGTAATGATTAAGCAAATACACATTCTAACATTAGACTCTGAAGATGAAAAAACAGTTAAAAGGTATCAGCAAGCAATATATTAAGATAGATAAAGAAAGTGCATTTTAGTACTTATATAATTCTTAAATTGAACCCATTGGCAGATTTTAATTGTGTAGTTTGAGCCATAGGCCAGTATTTCTATAAGGCATTTACTTTTGTTTATATAAGACCTGAATCAACTGTAATAAGAAACACTGACTCATTAGCTCAGCTCTGGCCTCCCAATCCAGCATGTGAAGGCCTCTTATGAGGCCCCTCTTTGAAGTGCCCAGGGCAACCAGGGAGAGGGGACTAGAGAACAGCTGGATGGGCTGTGTCTCATTGTGGAGCTAGATGCATGCACATCTTTTCTGGCTAGAAGAAACCAAGGGGCAGTGAAGCCAGTCCAGTCCAAGAAATGCTGCTTGAGGCTGTGGCTCAGTCAGGAGTGAGCACCACTTCTCACCACAACCTTTCTCAACTGGAAGCTTTTGCAGATCTGCTGAGGAGAGGAGGGGTCCCAGTGTTCAACCCCATTGATGTGGACTGGATGTGGAGGTTTAAGCATCTCTTTCCATATACACCTGCTCAAACTAAAACCTTTCACTGAAGTCTTTCTTCAGGAGTTAGAACCTTCTAACCTCTCTGAAGGGGGTTAGAAGCTTGGCTACCCAGGAAAGGGCCTTTTCTGTGGTAGCACCCCAGCTTTGGAATCTGCTTCCCAGAGAGGTGTGCCTGGTGCTGACATGTTGTTCTTTTCGGCACCAGGCCAAAACCTTTTTCATTTACCCATTATTTTAAGGGTTGAAATAAGTTTATTGTATAGTTTATATATTATATTAATATTTTAATGCACTGCAGTGCCCTGGTTGTAAGCGATCTGGAGATCTGCTGGATAAAGACAGGATAGAAATGTTTTAAGTAATAAATAAATACTAATAGGGATGGAAATCATAATTTCCATCCTATTTCCATCATAATAGGGATGGAAATACCCCCTCTCTCTACATGAGCCACAGTGAGCTTACATGCTTACCCCTCTCACTACTTACAGATAGAACAAACTTACAGTTCCCTAGGGCTTGTTTAATGTTTCAACTATTGTTAGTTCAGGATTAAATCAGTATACCTCCTAGCTTATACAACTGTAGAATTTAAAGAAACCATATTTCCTGAGGTTTGATTTTCTTGGAGTGTTATGGTTAGTTTTAAAACTGGGCACAGATGCTTCTAATGTCCCTTTCCTGATATATGAAAGTGGAAGAAGCAGGGAAAAGTCAGCAAGCTTTAGGCAAGCCATGACTTATTCATGCAGCAGGAGACCATGGTTCCTGTTGTAGCTGCACTGCACATAAGTATTGATGTTCTAAATGTATTCAGAGCTCAGTGTAATCCATTGTATATGGCATGTATTGATTGACCAGGTTTTTAAAGATGGACTGAGGACTCACTAGTTTCTACTGAATACTTTGTAATCCTGCAGAATGATAACAACACACATGCACACAGACAAAAACAAATGTTTTACAGAATAGCTCTCAGAGCTTGCCAGTGTGATTCCACTCAAATATCCTGACTTTAAGACCGGAACAGGATGGCACAGCTCACCCAATTAAATCAGCAATTAGGCAGTTAACCATGAGATTATGTGTGTGCCAACCATTCTTTGTGTAATATTTAGATGTTAGCTTTCTAAGTCTACATAGAGTTGTAGTATTCTTTTTTCCCAGCATAACATTCAACTCCTAATGGTTAGAGTAGTCTTGATTATCATACAAGTCACTTTATGTCTTGTAATCTTTCCTTATTTGCTTTATTATCATTAACCCATCATTCCTAAGGAGGTATGCAAATGAGAATGGCTGCTGGCAAAGCACTAATGGTATTTTTAACTATGTCTAGCCCAGCATCTGCTCACTATGTTTCTATCTTGTCTAGGTTTTTGCTGCAGTCCCTGGAGGATTTGGATAACAGTTTAAGAAAGCTAAATTCTCGCTTATTTGTAGTCCGAGGCCAGCCAACAGATGTTTTTCCAAGGCTGTTTAAGGTAAGAATTCTACTGTGTGTGACAATCTTGTAAAGACAATTTGCTTGTAAAGTAAAACTTGATACCAAATTTCCCTGTTGCTGTTTTGCCATAGCTACTTGGTTACACATGAATGCCTTCAAGGATATCTAATAAGAGAATTCCTTTACAGGTGCCAACCTGTTCCATGTTCCACATTTTTATTCAATAACAGCATTATTTGTACCAATGAAATAGTGCATTTCCAAGTAGTGCATTTTGGGATGGATGCAAATAAATGCCTTAAAAAGAATGTATTTATGAAATTTCTTAAATAATATCTTCGTTAATATTAAATTTGAATTCAAACACATTAGTCCTATAGTTAAACATTACATGGTATCAGTGTTTTCTGCTAGGTATGCTGATTTAAGGAGTGTTCTATATAAATAATGAACAGATCAGATCTTCCATTTGCTGGACAGAGGAAAAGAAAAAGAAGGAATTCTAAATAGAAAGACAAAATTATCTAGTTTGTAGTCTCTTAAACTTCCATACTTGTCTTCTCAAATTGCCTTAGCTACTGGTTGAAAAGCCTTATATTTTAAAGACCTTGCCCTAACTTTGCTTCATGAAAATGAACCCATGTTAGCCTTAGGCTTACACACTTCCCTCTTCTCTAATGTGACTGTGAAGAGGTATTCAGAAACTTCCATTTCTGTTTTCCATCAACCACAGTTTGGCCTACCACCCAAGCCCTAGATTATGATATTTATTTATTTATTTATTTATTTATTTATTTATTTATTTAAACATTTCTATGGCGCCCCATTTGCCGAAGCCTCGGGGCGGCTCACAACATAAAATAAAATACAAAAATAAAAAATGGTTTGTTTAACTTCCTAGACCAGTGGGGTTGCTATAGACCCCAGCCGCTCTCTGAAATATTTGTAAAACTTACTTAGTGAGCCTGAACCACTTCATACTCTCAACAGTTGTGGGGTTGACATGCGGTGTTTTAGCTTTTCCCATCACTTTCCAATTAAAAAAAGAAATTTTGATCTATCAGGTCTTATTGAAATGAATGAAACTATTAATACTAAACTATTTTAGGTACGTTGTATCACCAGGAACTTATCAAAACAAGAAAAATAACTTTGTGTTTTGCCTGTATCATTAACTTTTCGGTGAACGTATTACTTCAAGGGTTCTAGTCTTTCAAGGATAGATTTTTTTCCTGTATGTTCCTGAGCATACAAAAATAATAATTACAGAGTTTTTCGGGGATCCATCCAAGTGTATGAATGGGCCATTTTGTGCAGTTCTGGGACCCAACTGCTTGCTGTATTCTCTATGCCAGTGCCTCATGCTGTGAAAACTATGAACAAGCCATAGTTGTCCATTCTAAGCCTCTGTGGTAGTTTAACCACTGAATTTCAGTGGCTAACTACAACTCTCCCCTTAAAAAGTGGGATTAAGGGAGGGGGTCACACAGCAGTGCAAACCACATGTGGGTGGTATGCTGCCTGTCTCTGCTCTCAGGTTTAATTCCACAGTTTATCTTGAGACAGGAGTTCACTCTGTCACTGCTAATTAGCAGTATCCATATCTTATTTTTAATGTCCATTTGAGAACAAAAATAATATATTAGATAAATTGGGTACTCTCCATTGTATGCCGTGAACTCTGTGTTTGCTGGGTATTTGTGGAGTGGTGGGGAGTTCTGTTTTACTTTCTCCATTCTCCTCCAGAGTTCCTTGAGAGTCTGAGGAAGAAATTAAGTTGATATTGTGAGCGTCCAGTGTAGCCCACTAGTTTGTTATTAAAAAAAGATTTTAAAGAAAAAGAGTTATGTAAACATATAGACTGTGTTTCCAAAATGTAATAATATTTTCAGTTTTTTTCTAAATGTTGAACTGGCATCATTTTGAAATCAGTCAACTTTATTTCCAATTAGGACTTTAAAGAAGTTGGCTGGGCCCCAGTAGCAGATTGCTACTTCCCCCCGCAAAGGTATCCAGTACAAAGGATTAGTTAGGCAAGCTTTGTAACTTCTTGTTTGATGTTCCCTTCTTGCCTTCATAAACAGTTGATGACATTAAGTGACTGTAAAACAGAAGCAAAACCTTTTGAACCCTTTGCAGCCATGGCAGAGGATGGGAAATGAAGAGAGCTTATATAAATGGAAGGGTTACCTAGGGTCATACTCTTAAATATTGTTGTATCATAATGTCTATTATAGGTTTAAAAAAAGAAGAGTAAAAGCAGCCAAGCCATGCAGTATATCCCCTGTGTGACAAAGTAATATCCGATTGTAAACATGAAATAGTGAAAATACAGTTGTGTTTAGTTGACATTAATATTGTTTTGTGATTTTACCATTATTTAGTAAATATATGAAGTTTTAGCAAATATATCATTGGAAAAGGTATATAAATTAATTTAGTTCTTTCTTTTTTACTGATTTACATAACCTCAAGAATTGACTATGCATGTTCCTGTATCTGATTTGTATCTGCTGATCTAGACAGATACTGATAACAGTATATCAGAGTGCAGAATACGGTAGAAAATGTGCAGTATTTTAGAATTTAGCAAATAAAGGAAAGATGAAAATAATTAAACTATCACTATTAAAACTGACTTTATTAATTTGATTTCAGCTTTGATCTTTTATTATCCAGAAATGTGTCCAATACTCTGAAATGCGTGTAAGTGATGATAAAGAACAAGCTGCTGTGCCTCGCATTCCTTTCTTGGCCCTATCACCTGAACAGCCCTGATACCTGCTGTAGTTAAGCTGCATTTGCCACATGATAAAGCAGTAGGGGTGAGGGAAACTTTGGAGGAACAGGGCACAGAAACTGCGTCCCCTTTTGTGATCTCAATATGATTAAAGGTATCAGCATCCTTGGGAAGCAGCATCCATCATAACTATTTCTGATCTCTGATTACAGTTGCTTTATTTTGTTTTTTTAAAGCACTTTGCTTTAGGGCTTGTTTGAACATATGTAAAAGTATCTGGGCTGCGTAACCAAGCTTGGACTGCATAATGCATTGTGGAACACAGTGTATCTTGCATGTGTGTTTCTTTTTTTCAAGGTGAGGTACAAAGTGCTTGGTAATTCTTTTATTTCAAGTAATAGGTGAAGCAGCCTTTAAATCTTTTCCTCAGCAAATATCTGTTTGATCTATTCTAAGCAACATCCATCTTTTAATTGTTTATATTGTTGGTACTGCTGTATTCCTCTCCAGCTGATAAGAGAAAATCAGCTCTCTTTGAGCAAGGATTGCATCCCAGTAATTTATTTGGGTTCAAATTTACCACAACCCTCTGTGACTGTATATATTCTTGCCAAAAATTGATTCTTCTTTGTAATCTCCATATATCACTTAATGGGTTCTGAAGCCTAGCTTTGTTTTTCTTTCCTGCTTGCTTGTTTTTTGTTAGTTTGTTTTTTGCTGCTGCTTTTGCATTTTTGTTTGGTTCATAGTCTCCACAATTGTCCTGAGGGTATTTTGCCCTTTGGGCTCCTCTTTCTTAGAGTGTGAACTCCCTCCAACAGATGGATATTTGCTCTTTCTCTTTAATTTAGGAGCGAGTCGTAAAATAAATACAAGTATTTTTGTCCAAGCCTTCACAAAGCAGGCAAGGCAGGCCTCAAGCCGTGTTCTGGAACCATCCATAGGGGAAGGGAGCCTATGGAAGTCAGGATAGCTACTAAACTGTACTAGGTGTCAGTGGACCTCCTCTTTAGGGCATTAGACACCCTTGCCCACTTAACTGTGGCTTCTTCAGTGGCTTCTTGATCAAAGCCCTCTTCATCTCTGCCCTTGCATACCAACCCACCAATAACAGACCAGCCATTGAAGACTGCTGTAGCCAAAAAGTTCTCTAAAAGTTCATAAGGCACAGTTAGAGCTGAAGAAGAAAACATTGTCTTTAGCTTAATCTTTGGCCCTCCTGGCTTCGCCAATGAGTTTGGTGCCAAATTCAGCAGTAACAAAACCAGTGCCTCTCCTGCTACTTAATGCACTGATTTTGGTATGGTATGCCTGCATGGTATGTCAGAATCAATGCCAGACATCAAGCCAATAGAAGACCCTATTAATTGTAGCCTCTACATTGGAAGGCAAATTCCAGGAAGGATGGCTCATCCTGATACCATGACAGAGATGTGAAGCAAGGTGAAATCTTATAGATGCTATTCACTCTCTCAACAGGGTTCACTTAATTTTGCTGTTTCAAGCTACTTCTACTCTGAACAAAAAAGATTGGGTTTTTAATGGCATGAGCAGCCCCATGATCAGTTGTGTTCACCATTTTCTGACTTGGATAGGTGGCACCAACCTGTTGAGATTCTTGATACTGATAGTGTGCCAGAAAGCCTCACCGAAGGCATGATGTGGATGTTGAGTGGGCTGTATATCAGTCATGCCACCATTATCCAGATGAGTATTCATCTAATTAGTACCACTGCATCCCATTGGTTATTGTTATTGAAGTTGTCACTAGCTCAGGCAACTTTCTTGGTCCCTTCATGAATACATACTGTACCACCAAAGTTTCCTCAATGCCAAATGTTCCCACTATACCACCAGTGCAGCCACCAAGTACAGTATTGACCACTGTTCCCATGATAACACCAATGGAACTGCAAAGCACACCACCTTCTATGACACTGCTAATTGCAGTAAAAATGGGCTATGTTCTACGTCCTGCTGGTTCATAACCTTCTCAGCAGCAAAAGAGTATGCCTCCATGGTTGATGCTGGAGGATTATGAGTCAGACGTAGTGACATGTTCCTTGTTGGTTTCTTCCAACTTGTCACAGGAAATTGTGGTGGTAAATCAAGATCCTCCGTTCCTCCTTGAAGATACTTTGCATAGTACAGTCTCTTGTACTGGAGACCCAGCTACTTGTGATGACAATTAAAGGCTTGGATTTTGATGCATTGCAATAAGAGAGTTATACACTGGTAGGAATTCCCTTGCTCCCAGCATTACTGCAAACCATCCAGCAGTCTTGGAAGGCTGCTTGTTCTGTTCTGCCTACTTGATGGATGGTATTAGGGTTGTCTCACCCCACAGTGGTTAAGACAACCATGGTTTGCTCTCCACTTCTGTTGGCACGTGAAGAGTCCCTCTGCTTTCTGTCAGTTTCAAAGCTTAGAACAGAGACAGATTTGCCATCCAGATCTGAACACATTCCACATGATGGCCGGGAAAATTCAGTGATTGCTCCACCTAGTTTTCAATGTGATATACTAGCCAGCTACAAAGAGGTCATCTGCTAGCAAATAGATGGCTTCTGGTACATTTGCAAACTTTCCTGAGTTTGGTGGAGTTAAGTGCACATGGTACCACATTCTACAATTTGTTTTATCTCTTCACAAAAAAGACTTATTGTTACTTCCTTAAGAAGGTATTTACAATTTATGCCTTTCATCAGCTGGTGGAGTACTGATCTTTTCACACCCTTTGGTCAAGCAGTTTCTGTGGGAAGCCTGTGATTTTGCCCCGCAGAACCAAACTCTAGTAGGATGTGAAGTATATCTGTTGTTCTGCCAACCTTGGCTACCAAACCATTTGAACAGCTAGTAACATTGACCTTTGTCAGCTTTCCCAGAACACTGTTTTCCTTGGTGCATAGGTCCAGTGAATGTTGTACTTCCCATATTAGTTGACATTACATTGTGACAAGATAATGCTCCTTCCTGAACTGACCTTTCTCTCTAAACTTGTCTTTAACATCTATCTAAATCAAAACTGTCCTTTTCTTTGTCCTCAACTGCTGTTGAATCTACTCTTCATGCCTTAGATATCCAGTGTGCCTGGATTTCTACAAATCCCAAACTTAGAACTTTTCCAAGTTATAGTATCTGTTCAACTCCTGTGGGAACTGTCACAGGATTGCCAGTGTCATCTTGCATTTTCTTCTGAGTAGTGTACATTCTTCCACCCATGTCCTATTTGAGGTTATTCTATTTGAGTAATGGCTAGTTACTAAAGGCTGGATGTCTTTGGTACAACTGTTTCTTTGAACATGCCATCTTATTGGCTGTTCTGCATGGACTCCACCTCCATTAAGTCATCTTGCTACTCACCAGATATGTGATGCACGTAGGCGGTTAAGAATTAAAATCAGCTACTTACTTGTAACTGTAGTTTTCCCATTCATGCAACCTACCTGCTGCCTCCATTTCCATGTCTTTGTTGATACCAAGGTCCCTCCCATTTCCAAAGGTACATTCATTGTCAAGGAACTGAGGACGTACATGGGAAACCACTATGATCATGCATGCTAATGCAGTGATTGAGAGGATTTCTGCCAAAAACCCCTCAAGTTAAACAGTTTTGCAATTGAGGCTCCAGGTAGGCGCATAGCCCATATGTGGGAGTGCACAGGTGACCACTGAAAGTTAAAACTCAGTAACTTTACTTTTTCTTGTGGTTTATCTTGGTTGTATCTGAATATTGGTTGTACTGAGTAGTGTTGACTGCATCCTACACAATTATTTAGCTGTGCCAAGTTTGGAAGGTAATTATGGCTCACTTTATAGCAGCCAGTAACATCTTGCAAACACACTTTGTCAGAGAAAATAGGTCAGTTTGTTGGAGAATGAGATGATGCTAAAAGCTCCAAGAAAAAAACTGAATATGCTCAAATTCTTTCTTGTAACCCCGTGGTTTCCTAGAGCATTGGCCATATTTCCTTTTACATATTTGTGATACCTAGCTATATTTAATATATATATGCAACAAACTGGTCTCATTATTAGGGGAAAATACTGTGCTTCTCTCTGAATTTGGCCACATTTGGACAATTTTGTTTTGGCTTCATAAGCCAATACTTGATCGAGCTGCTTACGTTGCACAAGCAAACAAACCAGGACATTTCCATTAACCATGGAAGTATGCTCAAGTACTTCTGAGCAAACCAAAGAATTTAGTAATATTCACAGTTTCTTTCCTGGAGCTCTTTGCAGCATCCCATTCTTCAGCTACAAACCGCTTTGGCTTGTTGTTGTTATTTTGGCTTGTTCTGAAGCCTTTAGCTATAGTTTTCCAGTTTTAAAAAACTTCTGAAAAAGCCAAGTTATATCTCACTACATTTGGTGAAATATGTATCTGCAGTTGATTCAATTAGCCCAGTGTTAGCAGGTTTTCTAACCTGCTACTTGATATTCATTTAACTGGAGGTGGTGTGAATTGAAAATGAGATCTTTCCCAATAGTCAGGGGTGATGGGTGTTGGAGTCCAACATTTGGAAGTGATGTGGTGCTCACCCTGGTAGTAGATGTCAATCCGTGCTAATTGGTTCAAGGAATTGCATTATTAGACGGGTTATAGGTTGAATTCACTATATACATAAAGTGTGGTTTTAGAGTTTGCTGCTTAATCCAGATTTATTATATGAACATAGATGTGAACTGGAACAAAGTGCTGCAGTGTAATCCTATCTCATAAAAGGAGTTTTCTGTTCTAGCCAGTTTAGAACAGCAACCTTATTGTGCTTATTTGGAGCTCACACAGAAGGGCACCATTTTTCTTTCTCACTGTGTTGTGTTAAAGTTTTCAAAAGCATTTGTCAGCTGTGGAGTGATGCGTGGTGAGATGTGTCATACAGATAATTTTGTCGGGCCTGTAGGCATATTTACAAAATTAAAAGCAAATTCATTTCAAAGGATGCTTCAAACTGCAGCAAGGCTGATGAAGGAGTATGAGAGGCTGCAGTGGTAAGAAGTAGAAGCAAAATACCACAAAGACCAGGGCTGCCTGACATCACAAATTTTGCTTCCTGAATACTACCCCCTAGTCCACTTGGTGTCATTTTAAAAACACATTGATGGCCCCACCTGCCTAAGTTGGAGACAATACTCTTTCAATCTGATGAAAATAAGGACCAGAGTAGAGATAAGACCCCAGTGGCCTTTGGTTGAGCTGAATGGTACCCTGAACATCCAAAGGCCATGAGTTAGATACTCTGTTCCTGTCTTTACTGCTGGCTTCTTTTGGATAATTCATATGTATGGAAATGATATAAGAGCTGAAGTTAGGGAATAAGAAAAACTCTTTTGTCTAAAAAATATGTTATTTAAGAGCGATGTGAGAGCAGCTACTGCAAGTGGGGGAATACTTGTTCATATGTATTTAGTATTCTTTAATTAGGATCTTCTTACTAATTCTCAGGCTTTGATGCTGATGCTCTGAGAAGGGTGTCTCATATTTGCAGTTGTTTTTTTGCAGGAATGGGGGGTGACCCGTCTCACCTTTGAATATGACTCGGAGCCCTTTGGAAAAGAGAGAGATGCGGCTATAGTGAAGTTAGCCAAGGAAGCTGGAGTAGAGGTGACAACAGAGAATTCGCATACCCTGTATGATCTGGACAGGTATGGTATAGATATACAGACATTATGCTATCTAAGGAAGAAACAGAACTGGTGAATAGAGTAGAGGGAGACTTTGGTGAAGGGTTTATTGACCCATGAGAAAAAAGTTGTCAGTTACCACACTGAACTCCCATGTTCTGCTGGGGTGGGAAAAAAGAATTAAATTCATAAACTGTGTTCGTAAACTGTGAACTAACATCATGATTGCTACTGCTGCAAGATGAAGATGCTTTATGGTAAGACTACTGTTGCAGGCACACAATCTACTAACAGGACACATTAAGAAAGGGGTTGAATCGACTTCATATATTAATTCCTTGACCATTAGAGGTAATACATGTAAAGAGGTATAGGGCTAAGGTACTGAGGAAATTATTCTCCCAAATCACTCTGATGTGTTTGTCTTTGAACATTTTCAGTCTTTCCCGATCAAAGTGTGTATGTGAAAAATAAATCAAGATTTTTTTCTTACACACACACACACACACACACACTTACACACACCTACTTGACTTGCAGGTAGATTTCTGTACACTGTGGTCAGTTTTGTAGCTTGTAGACATCTTGCATGCAGATAATGAACCTGAGTTGTATTGTTGAAGTGTACAAATGTGTTTACATGATGGTTGAAGTCATTTTAATGTTTAAAAATGTATATCTTAGGTGTGGCATATCTGTGTATGTATGTATTAATTTTTAGCCATTCTTTCAGATAGAGTCTGTCCGGGTTTTTGATGCTTGGGGTGGGGGGGCGTCTTATTTTGCAGATGGAACTTTGTGTAAGGTACCTTTTCTAATTCATCATATACAGTCAACATGTTGCATTGGCACCACCCTATTTTAATGTTCTAAAATCTTTCTTAGCCTATGCATTCCCTTGCACAACCCCAATACTCATCTACTCATAAAAGTTTTACAGCAGCAGTGCTCCTCCATATTAGTGCCATAACTTATTGTGCCTTTTAGAGGAGGTGGTCTTTTGAGACACACTTCAAGCCACTGTTAATTTCAGTAAACTATATTTCCTTCCGCTTTAATATATTGTCAGAAACATCATTTTGAATTGAACCCAGAAGTGAATTTAGAATGAAATTGGCATAGTATTGTGTTACATGGTCTGAATAACAAGCTTCTAGCCAAACTCTGGCCGTTGCATTTTGTACAAGGTTCCAAAGACAGACCCATTTAGAGTAGCAAACGATCCTTTGCCTACATGATCAAAAATTGTGTGCCATAAACCTTAAGAGGATGGAAGAAGCTAGGCGATACGGTAAAAATGTCCATAAGGTGATGTTAAGCACTATGCAAGCCACACGGTTGCTCGGTGTCTGCATAGAGCATCCCCTGCCAAAAACAACAAAATACATCCTGAAACACTTGAACAATAGCTAATTACCTAATTAGTGCACATTTTCTAGTTTTCTTTGGGATATTTTGCTGATTGGCTGTGTCTGGCCATAACTGTAAACTATGGTTGTAGTCTAGAGGAGACTTCGTCTCAGTTCCCCCTGCCCTCTGGTATGGCTGCAAGGAAGAGATGGAAACTTTGCTTCCATTTTTTATATTTTAACAGACCTCAGTTTAGCTGTATCCTTAGACCTGAACAGAAGGGTTTCATTCCCTTTAACTGTGAATTATGAAAATAAGTAGCATGTTTGGGATTCAGATGCAACACTAATCCTTGTGGCTAATTAAAAGTAGAAGCACAATATTCTAATTTTATGGCTGCACTAAAGAGGAGATTAGAAGGGGGAGTGTGTGATTCTAAGCAGCACTTAGGCTTTTTCTCACAAACCATGACATATCATTATGTCTGAACACAACCATTCTAGGTTGTTTTGCAGCAGTTAGATACCATGCCCCCATTGGCAGTGCCAGCCATTTGGTGTCCACTTTCAATCACCATTTTATATCTGTTAATTTTTGGTAATATGATGATGGGGGTGAAATGGTGACTAAGCATGGGCTAATATTTATCTTTTTCTTTTAAGAGGACTGTGTTGTAGTTGTGGTGGTTTTTCTGGTTTTGTTCTGTTTGCATCAAGTTTATAGCTTGAACTGTAATTGGAGAAAGACTGGATATCAACCGTATAAAAAGCTGGCCTTTACTTTGTGCTACATGTTCATTTACAGAGATATTCTTTTACAGTAGTCTCAGAATTTTGGTTTTTTAGAGATTTCTGAGTTGCATTCTAACTTATTACCTTTAGGGAAAGCCTTGTGTGGCTTTCCCATTTGAATATTGGGCTGTCCTTGATGTGTCCTGGACAAATTATACAATCTGGTATATTACTGAGAGGTGTCACACTTGTTAGTAATAAACATCACTTAGATACAATTGTGGAACTTCCTGTTATTAATAAAGATGAATGCTCCTACTTTCATAAATTGCTGAGAAGCTACTTAGAAAGCGTATGTGAGAGCTATAACAAAAAATCATTCCCTGTGTTTTATACATAAGGGCAGAAAGCTGTTGAGAGGAATTCCCTTTTCCCCAACTACACAAATCTTGTTTCATCACATTGAAAGAGGTTAAAGTGGATGTTACGAAGCCCTCCTTTACTGTCTCTGACATGCTGGAGAAGCCCTTCCCTCAAATCCTTCCCACAAAAAACAACTCTTACTTTTTAGCATTGTTACATTTTAAACTGCTGTGGTATCTAACAAAACTCATGAGATGCTTTATTCATATAATCATATTTATGGTGGAGCAGCTATGGTTGAGAGAGACTTGCCCAGACTCTTAAGGAGATTTGATGTTCTGTGTCCAAGACCAATGTCCCAAGAACTTTGTGCTGTTTCTCAGACCTGTTCAGTTTCCAGCCCACGCTGTGACTCTTCTTCACACTTGGCTTGGAAATTCTCTGTTGGAGAAGAGACTCCTCTGTTTAAGAACTGCCTTTACCTTCCTCAGCATAAGATGGGTTGGTTTGTGCCTTGGATTCAATACGCAGAAACAGAAGGAGCTGGCTTCTCCACAGTGGCTGCTTCACATTGTGGAAAAACTGGATCACAGAGCCAGGCATGTGAGCCCAGCTCTGCCAAAGCCTTGCTAACGTGGAGCTCCTCCTCTTTACACGTGCAGCCTGTGGGGGAAGGACAGGCACGTGGCTTGTGCTGAAAGACTGAACTGGAATTGCCCGACCCTTTTGCATAAGTTGTCACTGGGAGGACGTGGCTGCCTGCCAGCTGCTGTAACTACTATTGCTGGGCTGAGCAGGAAGCTGATTTGGCTGCTTCAGCTTTACATAAGCTGGCAGCTTGGCACTGGCTGCATCTTCTTTTAACTCTTTCCCTTCTGTTTTTGTGAGAGACAGTCCTTCTCTGTTCTGGAGGCTCTGTTTCATCATATGTGGTGTTTAAAGATCTTCTTAACTAGAGTTAAAGTCTTTAATACACAGGGTTTTCTTTAGAACAATGTCAAGAACAAAAAATAATGCAGATTGTTTGTATCTTTAAGCACAACCTTAGCTACTGTGATAGGCTCCAGGATCTAAGATTCTTTGTATGGTTTAAGAGTATGCTTTGTGTGTTGCATAATTTCCAGAAGTCTTTCTGCTTTGTTAGGCAACCTAAAGCTTCCTAATCTGCATAATACATTCTCTGGGGGCATCTAGGGGGCATCCTGAAGTTGTACTGGTGCCATGATTGCCAGTGAGAGCACAACTCATGTGGACTCCTAAACCACCTAGGAAATAATTTTAGTGACGTGATTTCCCCTAGCAAACCACATCAGCAAACATGTTTTTTCCAGCCAGTTCTGCTGCTATGGTTAAAACTTCCTGATATGAGGAACACTTCAAAGATTTACGTTCTTGGCAATAGCTGGGCCACTGGTTCAAACATGTTCTCAGTCTTTGTGAAAGCTGGATATTTTTAAATTATTAAAATTTTAAACTGAAAATCCTAGAATTCTAGTGGGAACCAAAACCATGCCACTCTTAGCAGATGGAGGATCCATGTGTAGTTCATTGCTGTTTGTCATCTTTGTTCATATTTTTTCAGTTCTGGTTTGGCACTATTATACAAGTTTTGTAAAGTGGTAGAATGTTTAACTTTACCCTGTTAGACTACAGGCAGGGAATTTCATCTTCAGTTGCATTTGGATACAATGTGAAAACTCCTTGCATGTAGAAAACTAGTGCATGGGGAGAGAAGTTTTAGCACACCTGTCAGTCCATTGCTAACATTGCATGGGCACTGCTTTTTATATGTTTGGGGGACTGTTCAAAAATAGTATTGCTGTTGTGCAGCATTGCAATTCAGAAATCTGCTACCTTAGCATAACCCTGCATTCTTCACATCTTATGGAACAGTTCAAAGAGAGAGCAGAAAGAATTAAGGAAGGGAGAACTTTAAATCCCAGATAAAAGCAAGCATGTGAAACATCTGCTCATGATTACTCTTGCTTCTGAAGGGTGATTTGTAATGCCAGAGAAGAAGGGTGTGGATGGAATCCTGGGAGGAGGTGGGGGGGGGGGGGGGAGCAGTTTCATACCTATCTTAATCCTAAATGTATATGCACTTACTAGTATGAAATGAAGTGTGAGTCTTCTTAATAAATGTTAGGCTATTGACCCTGGAATAAAGGAACAAGTTTTTTCTTTGGAGGGAAGTTTATAGGATAGGAAAACAGAGGTTCACATTGCGGATGATAGAGCTTGAATATTCTAGGAGCTGAGGAAGGAAATTAATGAGAGAATTTATTATTCATATTGTATATTTTGCATTCCCTTCTTCCCACCAAATAGCTGAAGAAGGGTTTGATCCTAAATGTACTGTTGAACAGGCTGTTTCCCCACACATCTCACAGAAATAAGGTTGTTCTTTAACTCTGTTCTGCAGGATAATTGAACTGAATGGGCACAAGCCTCCTCTCACCTACAAGCGTTTCCAGGCCATCATTAGTCGCATGGACCTACCCAAGAAGCCAGTGGCTACTGTAACAAATCAGCAAATGGAAAGATGCAAGACAGAGATACAAGACAATCATGATGAAACATATGGAGTTCCATCTTTGGAGGAGCTGGGTATGTTAGAGAACTACAGGATAACTATACTGGTTTTCTTTGGCCTTGGAACACTTCCAAAATAGGCTGTTCTACTCTTTTTCCCTGACCTGATCTCGCTGTAGCTTAGAAGCAGACTTCAGATTATCAGTGCATCTTGCTCCTAAGAATATTACCTGATTAGCTGTCTGTACTATACACTACATGAAGTCATCATAATTATTAATGGTTACAGTAACAAAGGGTTAATTACAGTAATCCTTGTAATAAGGGTAACTAATAAATTACACATTTTAAAAATTGAGTGCCTAGATTTGGTTTTATATGATTTAACGAAGTTTTTTTTATTATTTGTACTTTTTTAAACCTTGCTTTTCAAATAAATTCACTGGACAGCTTACAATAAGAGATCAAAATACAATAAAACAACAACACACCCAAATCAGCAATATATTAAAAAGCAACATTACCAGCAGAATTAAAGCCAACTAAACCAAAAATTCTGGGGAGATAAAAGGATGTTTTCCTAGTGCTAAAATGAAATCAAGTAGGTGCCTTGGGAAAGTATTCCAGAGTTGGGCCACTACCAGTGAGAAGGTTCTTTTTCTCCCATAAGCACCCACCCATACCTCGTACAGGAAACATTCCAAGAGAAGGCATGATATCATTGCAATGCTGAATTTCATTTAGTAATTTAGCAGCAGCTTCCAAGCAGTGTGTTTAATGGCTCTCTCAGCTATATTAAGAATTAGATAAATTCTTGTAATTTTAGTAATTGCTACGTTTGAATGAGAATTTTGTAATATTGCGTAGTTTTCAGGATAATACTGATGTCTAGCTTCCAGCACTTAGTTTCGGTAGTGAAATTTTATTTCCATTTCCATGAATGTTTGTTTGATATCTAGTGGATATGGATTTTACAAGAAAATTTTCTGTTTGCTCCTATTTTCTGTTTGCTATATCTCAAAAAAAGAAAAAAAATTCTAGAGCAAGAGTTAGGAACAGAAAAGGACAACCATAAAGAGTAACTCCTCTGTGAGGAAAAGTTGTGACACTTGGGCTTTTTCATTTTTTAGCTTAGCAAAATATTTTAGGAAAATGTTGAACAATGCCAGAGGTGTATAAAACAATGTAGACTATGAAGAAAATGGATAGGGAGATATTTTTTCCCTCTAAACTAGAACCTGGACTCATGGGAGATTCAGAACAGAAAGGAAGACTGCTTTATCTGGCACATAGTTAGCATATGACTTAACTTCTCCAAGGTGTAGTAATGACCACTAATTTAGCTATTAAAATGGTATTAGGTGAATTGAAAAAAGTATTTTTAATGTCTACCAGTCACAGTGACTGTATGCTGTCCACAGGATTGGGGCAAGCTTCTTCTGAATATTAGTTGCTGGGGAACAAAAGCAGACAAGCGCTGTTATCCTCCTGCTCTGTTTCTGGGCTTCACATAGGTGCTTGGTTGGCCAGTGTGGGAACTAGATAGGCTTTGCTTTGATCCAGAAGGGCTGCTCTTAGTGGCCTGTACCACTAATTTTGGAACCCTAAGCTACTACAAAACCAACCTAGGGAGTAAAGTTAGAAATGGGTGGGGTAAGGAGCCTCTTTGGCACAGTGAAAGGCAATTGCTTTAAATGTTTTTGGGTGCAATCCTACACAAGTTTAGACAGAAAAATGACTTGCAGCTCCAAGCATTCCCCAGTTAGCCTTGGTTGGGATGCTTTTTTTGTCTAAACGTGTGTAGGATGTTAGATGGTTACTGCATGTTTTCTGGCCTTGCTTTGGTTCTTGATTCTTCCCCGTTTCTCTAAAGACTCTTACTTTTGTCTTGTTGCTGACCTGTTATATCTGTCATTTCATTCCCAGTAAGCAGATAAAAGGTCAACGAATGGTTTACATGCTAGATTAGACTGAAGTCTGTCATTTAGTTAGTTGTTTCCATTTGCAAATGGGCAAATGAGAAGCATTACACAAGTTCTCTGGAAATAGACCCATAATGCTCCAAGCTGTATTGGTGCTGTCCCTTATTTTTCTCCCTCCAATTTGTAGGTTGGGCTTCAAAGCTCACAAGCTAATGATTTTGCAGAATAAGAACTGTTTCAGTTCTTTGTAGAATATACTGCAGGGGTGTGTGTCTTATGCAAGTCTTTATCCAAAGATGCCCTCTGCTGGTTACAAGTGGTCATTTCACATAGAATACTCCAGAACATGGATAGCAGACATGCAGTATAATACTCAGTTAAAGTTTCCCTAGTTAGATTTGTTGCCTGAGTTCCAGATTAATATTCCTCCCTTCCACTATTTCTCAGGCTTTGCCACCGAGGGTCTTGGCCCAGCTGTTTGGCAAGGAGGAGAAACTGAAGCCTTAACTCGCTTGGATAAGCATTTGGAAAGAAAGGTAATCCTCTATAATCCATATTGCAAAAAAACACAGTTCACAGGAAAAAAAGTGAGTCTCATAAATAGTAAAAAAAAAAAAAATCCTAGCCTGCTCTGGCTGCTAAGAGCTGTTGGAAGCCAAAATCTTTTTGTAGTTCTTTTACTCTGCTTAAACCTGCAAATCTTCTATTTCTTGTCCAGGCTGGATCTTTGTTTTAAGTAATGCTCATACCCTGTCTTTTTCCTACAGTTGTATATAGAAAAAAATAATTTGCTAGTATTGATTCTGCTGCATTATAAATGTTTGTCACCTCACAGAATTTACACTAAGTATTAATAGGATAAGAATATATATCAAATATTAATGGGTACCAAACAATAATAATGGTAAGATGAACTGTGATTAAAAAGATATATCAAAGTTATGTGGTTTGTGCTAATATTATGCTTTAGTTTCTGATAATCTGATGTATAAGGAACTAAACTTGCATTACTATTCCAGCATATCTGACCTATATCCCTTGTTTTATTTGGTAGCAGTTGATTGTGCTGGAAGAAAGCCTGTCCTAAAAGTCACTCCAACTGGTTAATTCACTGTAGTGACATAGAATATGCAGTCTAAGTTTCAAAGCTAGGAAAGCAAGAATCCAACATACAAGGCACTATCAAATTGTTGCCTATGCTTTGAGGAGCTAGGCACCTCCCTGCTACTCATATACCCTAAAGATTTTAAGATACCGCCAGTATTTCATCTTTAGTGTTTTGTGTAACACAACCTTGTTTTTCATGTCTACTTCTGTGTTTCTCTCTCTTCTCCCCAACATTCTTATCCCTTCAAGGCATGGGTTGCGAATTATGAAAGGCCAAGAATGAACGCCAATTCATTGCTGGCCAGCCCCACAGGGCTCAGCCCCTACCTTCGGTTTGGCTGCTTGTCCTGCCGCTTGTTCTATTATCAGCTTTGGGAACTATACAAAAAGGTAAGAAACCCAGAAAGAAGTGTCCGTGTTAACCAGAACATGCCAGCCAGGAATCAAGATCACTGTGGTCATCTGGTGCAGCCTTCCCCTACCTGGTACCCTGCAGATGTTCAGATTTAGACTGTAGTCGGCTTCAGCCAGCATGGATAGGAATGTTGGGAGCTGCAGTCCAAAACATTTGAAGGGTCATCAGGTTGGGGGAGGATGATTTGCTACATCATGCAGTATATATTCCTTTCAGTGTAACCATTCCTGTCTCAACCTGGGTAATGGGACTTTATAGAATGCATATTATGCCACCAGTCATATTCCCAGAGTCTTTTCCAAAGAAGTAAATAAAATGTGACTAAATTATAACAATAATAAAAAGCAAAGGCTATCATAAAACTATCTGTAGGATTAAAAATGCATGTAAAAAGCTCAGGGAAATGAAAAGGCAATTGCCTGGTGCTGACAGGACAATAAAGCAAATGCCAGGCAAGCTTCTCTGAGAAATGTGTTCCACAACTGGGGTGCCACCAGTGAAAAGGCCCTCTCTCTTGAATTGAAATGACGTGGATAAAAAAATCTTTCCCCACATGGTGGGGTCCATACAGGAGGTTGCCCACTGGAGATCTTAATGTGTGGGTAGCACACATGGTGACAGGTAGTCTTTCAAGAACTGTTCTTCTAAGCTGCAAAAGCTTTCAAGATCAAAACTAACACATTGAATTTGGCCTGGAACCAGACTGGTATCAGATGTACTTGGAATAACGCAGGTGTACAGTGATCATAGTGCCTCATCTCAGTTAATAATTTGGCAGTTGCAATCTGCATTAAATGAAGTTTCTGAATTGTCTTTAAATGCAGCCCCATTAGTAGTCTAACCAGGGGATAGCCATAATATGTATAATGAATGCCAGGCTATCCCGCACTTCCTACTGTGGCCATCATTTGATTTATGTGCGGAAAGGTTACAGAAAAGCAGCCTATTTATTAGTATCTCTGTACTGGGTTCATGAAGCTCTGTCTGCCTACTCCTTTCCAGGATATGGTCATTAAGACCATCCCTTAAAGCTCATGTTGTCTCCAGGAGAGGCATGAGGGAAATGACTCTTTGGGCCTATAATTTACAACAGTCAGCAGGATGTAACAGATAACAAACTAAGTCTTCGATTTCTGAAAAAGATATGAATGATTTGGGCTAAGATTCTTTTCTGAGGTTTTCCAAGTCATCACTTGGAAACAACTCAGATATCCTCTCCCCTCTGAAAACACATTGTTTGGTTGCTTCTGCAGTAAGACAGTGATGACAGATTTAAGCTGCTAGCACTGATTAGAGAAGCGGAGAAGAGAGCATGCACTCAATAACTGTTGTCAAATTACTTTTCTGAATTCTTCCAATTTTCTGTGTTTTAAGGAAAGTGCTGCTTTATGGTTGGGGCAGATAACAAAAGAATGAAATGCCTTTGGAGTCACAGAATGAACATCCATTATGTTCATACTAATTTTCAACACACCAGGTGTTTTAAATTACCTCATTTTGACTTTCTTGAATTGCACGGTTTCCTGTTGACTGCAAAGGTTTAAAGCAGACACCCTGACCCCAGTGTCCTGTATTTGATTGTTGCCTTGGTGCCAGAGTGGGTATTTCCTGAAGATAAGAGCAAGTTATTAACAGGTTTCTAAAGAGATGGGTTTGAATTTTCTCAGGTTCAAAGTTGAACTTAATTGGGGTGGAAAGTTCATCTGCTGTAAGTCAAAAAGACCTGATGCTATCTTCCTTGTATGCACTTTTTTCTTGTGCTCTCTAGGTGAAACGGAACAGCACTCCACCGCTTTCACTGTATGGACAGTTACTCTGGAGAGAATTCTTTTATACAGCTGCCACAAACAATCCCAAATTCGACCACATGGAAGGGAACCCAATCTGTATTCAGATTCCATGGGACAGGAATCCTGAAGCGTTGGCAAAGTGGGCAGAAGGCAAGACAGGATTCCCCTGGATTGATGCCATCATGACTCAATTGAGACAGGAGGGTTGGATACATCACTTGGCCCGGCATGCGGTAGCTTGCTTTCTTACCAGAGGTGACCTGTGGATTAGCTGGGAGTCAGGCGTGAGGGTAAGTCAGGCACCTCATCTTTAACCTCATTTTTAAGTAACTCCTTGAGCTAAGGAGTTCAAGTAGTCTCCTGTAAGAACATCCATTCTTGAGCTTTTTTGAGAGGTCACTGAAACTCCAGTGCCACATTAACCTGGCAGTGCCAGATCATCCTGTCCTGTAAATCAAAAATTCACTTTTTTTTTTGCTGTTGTCTCTTTTAGGTGTTTTATACTTTTTAATGTTTTTACTTATTATGTTTTTACTCTATTTTTAGTCTCTCTTTTTATTGACTGTTGTAAACTGCTAAGAGAGAGAGGGAGAAAGCGAGCAGGCGGGGCGGGGGGGGGAGATGACAATGATACTATGGCAGGCAAATTCCCAGAAACCAAGTTCTGTAACATCGCTTTCGTTGGATTACAGTTGCAATTTTATTTCACTTATTCAGACCATGGCAGTGGGCAACATCAGCTTGTGGGGGGAAGTACTTTTCCATTGGATCTAACATTATTTTTTAAATCTTATGTTGCCAGCTGGTTTTGCATCTTTGTATCATTTTTGCATCATTCTGTCTGGGTCACTGAATATTGTAAATTGAATAATGGGGTTGTTGGTTGTTTTAAGTATTTTTAATCAGCTTGTCATCAGAAAAGACATTTCAAGTGGCTTACATAAGAGCAATAACCAGAATGACAATTTAAAATTGTTTCCACCAAACCCATCAAAATTTGGATCAGTGCTTTAGCACTGTCTCTCACTCCTACCACTGAAGTATTCCTTGAAGTAATTTATTTCATTGTGCTCTGTTCTCTTTTCTTTGCTACAGGTATTTGATGAACTCCTCCTGGATGCAGATTTCAGTGTGAATTCAGGCAGCTGGATGTGGCTTTCATGCAGTGCTTTTTTCCAACAGTTCTTCCATTGCTATTGTCCTGTTGGCTTTGGCCGTCGTACAGATCCCAGCGGCGACTACATCAGGTGAACATATTAGCCATTTCTGTCACTGAATCATGCCAGTTCCATCAGGCTGTATCAGAGAGGGAGTGACAGAGAGAGAAAGATGGAAAGAGACCATTGTCTCTGCTGATAGACCAGCTGGTTTTGGCTCACCATCCATCCTCCTGAACAGTTTTTGGTCATTTTAAGGATTTCTGATGTAACGCTAGGAATCAGTGCCCGAGTTGGTTTTTCTTTTCCCTTTTTCTTGTGTTATATCTTTTAGATGGTAAGTCAGTGGTCAGAAGCTCTCTTGAACAAGCTTCTCTAAAAAATCTTGTTAACTGAAGGTCAGGGTAGAAATACTTCTAGTAAGAACATATGGCAACTTCTTGTATAATTGAGGCAATTCACTGTATACCTAAATTGTTTGCAATGTTAAAAAAGGGTTTCTCCCAATTTTGTTCTGTAGGCGATATCTGCCCAAATTGAAAGGCTTTCCTTCACGGTACATCTATGAGCCCTGGAATGCACCTGAGTCTGTGCAGAAAGCAGCGAAATGTGTCATCGGGATAGACTATCCCAGACCCATGGTGAACCATGCAGAGGCCAGCCGACTGAACATTGAGCGTATGAAACAGATATACCAGCAGCTCTCACGCTACAGAGGCCTTTGTGAGTATTAGCAGGTGCATCATGCATCTGAATTGTGCTGCACAAGCTAATCAATTCCAATGCTATTCCATTTTTATCAGTTAGAAATGGCTTCTATTAAGTTTAAGAGTCTGTGCTCCTACATCAAGATTAAAAGTCAACTGGGGACCAGTTATGTGTAACACGCACTGGCATGGAGAGGTAGCACTTTTATTGTTTATAACCATCACAATATAGTTTTCACAGGAAATAAAATATACAGAGGGCATACCATTGTGGTGACAGAATACAGATTTTTGCATAATCAGTCCCTGTAGAAGGGAAATAATTGCTCAGGGGCTATTCTGAACTGAGAGCATGGCCATGCTGAGTGAGGATGAGGAGTTGTAGTCCAGTACATCTGAAAGGTGCCAGGTTTGGAAAAACTAGTCTAAAACATAATCATCAATATATGGTCAAAAATGTCAGCAAAAAATTCTAGAGTTTTCATTAGATCAGTGCTCCTCTACTTTGTTCTCTTATTACTACCAATTTTGAAATAAAACTGCCCTCTAGCTGTATCCACATGTTCTTGCAGCTGTACCTTATTGGAGAATTAGACTGGAATTATGGTTTGGATGCCTTGGATAATAACATATTATCTGACCACTATTTCTTCCTGCTTAAAACATGATTTCTCAAATATAAAATCTTCACCATGCATAATTTGATTAACATCTTTGTTTGACTTCAGACTAGTCAAGTATGTTCAGCAGGTTTGTTTCATTGGTTAAACATGAACATGTAGTTTCAGCCCACAACTTGTAAGATCTAATATGACTTTTTGGAGAGCTAATCAGTCCGTTTAATAAAGGGAGTTTATTATTGTGCCAAGCAATCCTAATCTCTGAGACAATTGTCCAAGGAAGGTCAGGATGTGACAGAAGTGGCCTTCTAGGATGTGAACAAGTGGGCTTGTGGGCATATCTGCTGCAGAGGCCTCTTTATATCTGTGGAAAGCGCCATGAGTCTAAATTAGTCATTGGCAGTAGGCCTGAAACGGTTTCCGAGGCCTTGGTCAGGTTCCTCAGCTAAACCTGCAGTCGCTTTTCCTCCCCAAGCCCTAGTCCTAAGTTCTGAGGCAAGCTAATACCAAGTTTTGACCCAAGTAAACATATGTATCTGTTTCTAATGCAAAAACTTCTACATGCATATTTTAGGATGAAATTAAAAGATATGCGTGTTCTTTAACAGAGACATTATTGTGTCTTTTCCAGGTTTGTTGGCCTCTGTTCCTTCCTGCATGGAGGACCTCAGCAACCCAGTCACAGACCCTTCTGCAAACCAGGGAAGTTGCCCCAGTACAAGTGAGTAGGTATTGATTATGTAAGCCATTTAACAGGCTCTTAAAGGCCGCAGCAGACGAGGGTTAGCGCCACAAGAGATGGAGATACTAAATTTGCTTGCGGTGCAGTCATGTGGCCTCTGAACATTGTATGGGGGACCATAAGGTTATTTGGAGTCCCTTCCCTGCCCTTTTTGCAGCCAGCATGGAAAGAACTTCGCCACTGCCTCTCCAAAGTTGGAAATTAGCCTTGGAGAGGCGGGAAAGGGGCATGTTAAGAGAATGGGAGAAGGCTAAGGACAATGGCTTGTGCTATAGCCAAACAGCATCCCAGCTTCCTTCCATCTCTCTCCACAGTGCTTCATCTGATGGGTGAATACAGGTGTCTTGAAGACAGGCAGAGTTCAAGCTGCCGCAGCGGTGAAGATCATTGCCTCTGCATCTTTTGTCAGACACTTGTATTGGGGAAAGGGATGTGTGTTGGGTTGCACCTTAAGTGAGTCAGAGAATATAATGCCCACCCAAACATGAGGTAACTGGAGAGGATATTTAAAGAAGGAGGGTAGCATTAACTGTCAGAAGTCTTGCAATACTTGCTCAGGACTGAGCAGAAAAGATCTTTATGGCCCTCAGTGCTGAAATATGAAATTAAATTGTAAGAGGAGCCATTGTTCCTTGTTTACAAGGCAATTTTCCTCTCAACTAGTGGTGTGCCTTCTACCCAGTGTTGCAAGTACTTGCATATGTACATGTCAATATTTGTAGCTTTAGAGCCAGAGGAATGTTTTAGTGATTCTTCTGTACCTTTTTGTAGTGCTAAGACAGATCCAGTGTGGCCAGACTTCTCCAAAACGGAAGCATGATGTGGTAGAGGAACACAATGAAGAGATGTACAAACGGGCAAAGGTGATGGCTCTGCAGCTTCCAAACACCTCACAACAAGAATTTGTGCATGTGAGTAGCTAGCCTATACCTGGGACTAGAGCTCATGTGATCACTCAGTCAAGTATCTTAAGTTTCTTTTCCCTGACTCCTATCAGGCATCACTAAACCTGTAGAATAAGGGCCATTAGCAACATCTGGTATCCTCAAGCAGCTGCCAAGATCCCAGCAGAGCTCAGTACTAATGCCCGAGTTTCCCTTTACTTTTTTCCCCTGACTTGCACTCCCTGCCCATGCTCAAGGGAGGTGTAAACAGGAAGTGGTTGTGCAGTGCTGAGGACTCATACAGGCACACACAACCTGGGTAGGAGGACCTGAGAAGAAGTGATGTGAAAAGGCCCCAGCTGAATCTAAACTCTACAATAATTTTCCACAATGCTTTGATTTAGCATTCCTCTGGAGCATTATGGAAAATTAAAATGAATTCCTGCTTGGAATTCTGCTGATGCTTCTGCCTTCATGCTGGGAAGCTGATCACTAGGGGCAATTTTCCCAGTATCCTATCAAACCTAAAGCTGGCCCAGGATAAGTATTAAATATGTTTCATAGAAACAGCTAAATTCCAAGCAGAAGGGTATTCTTGTTTGTCACTGGAAAGTACCCCTTGCCCCAAGGATAAACTAGAATCTTTGGATCCTTTCCTGAGTGTCTTACTTGTGCAATCGGTGGCTGTGTTAAGACATCACAGCACCCAAAACTCAATCATCCCTACTTGGCTTTTCCTGGCAGTGGGAATGGCTTTACAAGCCAGGTTATTTCTGCCCCTGGCTTGATTAGTATTATGCTGAATTGAAAACTCTGGCTTGCTCTAACTCTAAATCAGTGTCTGTTGTTGGTGAGAACAAACCCTTTCAAGCTTAATTCTGCAGGTGCTCCTAGATTGTTGAAAGATGGTTCAGGGAAATAGGGAGTCACCCTGTGCTGGATGTGGTTATACCCTCCTGAGCTCTCAAGCCTGCCATCTGAGCATTGTTCTGGGCTTGGCCTTGAACCTAAGCATGCAGATCTCATTGGTGGCCAAGAGTGTGCTTGCACAGCTGAAGTTAGTGCATCTGGCTTACCTGTTCTTTGAGATGTTTGATCTGGCCATGATTACACATGCTGTGCTTACAACCCATTTGGGCTTCTGTGAAGCTGTCCCATGTCGAGCACCTTTAAAACTGTTCAACAACTTAAGTTGGTCCAGAATGCTGCAACCAGACTGTTAATCAGGGCTGGTTATAGAGGGGAGCATGACACCCTTGCTACAAGAGCTTCAATGGCTACCTATCAATCTCAGGACACAATTCAAACTGCTGCTTGTGATTTTTCCCTATATACATGGTTAGAGGCCAGGCTACCCGAAAGACACCTCCTTCCATATGGGTCTGTCTGGGTTATAGCATGTTTGGGCTAGGCCTTCTTTCAGCACTGCTGCTTTCAGAGGCACATTTGGTGACAGTGTAAGAGAGGAGCTTCTTCATGGTTGCTCTCAGGCTGTGGAACTCCCTGCAAGGGAAGCTACACTGGTTCTTTCTCCATAGTCCCCCTGCTACCAGCCAAACTTGGTTATGTTTGAACAGGCCTTTCAGGTTGTAAAATGGCCTATTAGTTTAGATGCTGTTTTATACAGTAATTTTTGTTGTGTTGTATGTGTTTTAAATTACTTTTGTCATTGTTTTTAACTATGTTTAAAAGTAATGATCTAGGGATATTTTTTTGGTGGGGAATAAATTACACTGAAAGTTGGAGAGCATGCTGTTAAAAATGTCATGGAAATGCCTCCATTAGCATTGTAAATGTTTTTGATGTATAGGATATTAAATTGCTAATACCCTCCAAAACAAGAAGCATCGCTGTGTGTTAGCTGGTTTGGCTAGTCTGAGTTAAAAATGGGTGAAGGAAGGGGCTTGCTTGCTCTCTAAGACCTGAGATATTTTAGCAGTCTCATTTTGAATTAGATAGGTTGCCAGCACTGAATGAACCTTATGGTAGTAATCCCAAAGTGTATGAATTTATGCTGTATTTTTAATTAATCACGCTTAAAAAGTGGATTATATATTATAACATATACCCGAATAAGCAAGAACCCCGTACAACCATTTGTGAACCTGGCTTATCCGCTCAATTAGAAATGTTTGCATAGATCTTGTCAAGCTAGAAATTGACTATCTTGTCAGCAGAGGGCAGCACAATATTCCAACTTTGGTTCTTTGAACTTCAAGAGTTAATGGGTATTTGAAGTCCTCCATTATCCAAGAAAAACCCATTACCTTGTTTTTACTTTTCATCACACTTTGAAACCAATGATCCTTCTCCTCTCTGTTACATTCTTTTGTTTTTAAAGGCTGAATTCTTTTTGGGGCACATTTAACCTTCTGGATATTTGTTTTTCTTCATATAATATAATAACTGTTCCCCCCATTCAATTGGAGTTCCTTAGTGATTTGTCTTTGGTTGGTGGTCTTTCTTTTTCTTGGTGACAGCACCTGGAAAGCCACTGGTACTACAGGTTTCCTCCTCTGCAGTCAGAAAAGGTCACAGAGAGGACAGAATGTGGAACTGATCCACAGGCTTCTCCTGGTCCAAGAAGATAAGCAAGCTAAATAGACTCAGAAGTCCCTTGAGCTGAAAATGCTGAAATGGAGGAATGGGTGACAGAATGCTTTCCTTATTCCTACCTGACACTTGCTAGCAGAACTTTGCATAGATGGAAGGCTCTGAGATTGGAATCCTTATATCTATTGACCAAGTAATCATTAGAATGTGGTCTTAGTCATAACATTACTTCTCTTAACATTTGTGTACCTCTTCTCTAAATAACTCCACACTCTGGTTTATCTGAAATGGTTACAGCAGGTGTTTCCAAAAAAAGTGTTTTTATCTCCATGTATCACAAAAATATGTTTTATTCCTCAGCTTTACTCTTAACTGTTCTCACTTACCTCTTTCTCACTTTACCTTCTCCTTTTTGGATTTTCTAAACTATGCTGCTCATTTGGCCCTTCATGGGTCTTGTTGTGCCCACATGTAGGGGAAAAGAAATTTACAAAAACAAATTTGGTTGGCTCCCTGAAAGCCTACCCTATCACATCATCCTTTTTTCTACTTTAACATAGATTGTTTGATTTTTAAGAGGAGCATTACTAAATAAGAGATGGACTTGCCCAGTATGTACATCACAGTGGCAGTTTTGGAGTTGTTTTACCCAGGAATTGTTGAGAAGAGGGGAACTCATTTTCAGTTGTTTCAAGACCTGTGCATCCAGAAATGCTGAGGTGTTGTTGGTTTAATAACTCTGAGTGAACCCAGCAACAAACTATGGGCAATTGTTTGGTTAACTTTGAGTTGTTTAATTCACAAACAACCCAGAATTCTGGATTTGCAGGTTGTTAATTGAAAGTGGAAATGATGAGTGTGTCCTGCTCATCTACACAATTCCTGGAATAAACTAATTAACACTTGCTATCAGGGTATACTGCCAGGTAAATATGATCGACTATTGCATACTGAGGTTAAATGTGGATCTTAGAACTGACAAGATTAAATATGAGTGGAGTAGAAGAATCCTAACTAGGAAGTGCTGTTCCACTGATAATACACAGCTTGTGTTTCTTGAGCAAACTACCCACTTTCTAGGGGATAAACTAATTGTTGGCTCTTTCATTTCTTTACAGCCAGAAATGGGTAATTGACAAGACAAAAATCATATAGTGGAATGGCCGCTGCAGTTACAAAGAAGAAATTCACAAGAACATTGACCAACAACTTTACCTGTTGAATGTGTAACAACAGAGAAGCTGCCACACAAGGATTCCTGTGCAGGATGCAGTGAGAAAGTTTTCTCAATAAACAGAAGCCTTAGAGAACAAGTCTCTAGCTCTTCTGAAAGACATTTGAAATTGGCTAAGAAAAGACTTGGGATACGACTTCTCATTCCTAAATTTATTCCAGGTACCTTCACCAAGGTACACTTGTTGCTCCATTTAGAGCATCTCTTAATTTCTCAACTTTGTTGGGTATCAGATCCTGAGAGATGAACCTTGCAAGACCATGATGCCCACCATAGTTCTGGGGATGCACCTATTAAACACTCCAAACAGTCTTTTGACATTCAAACAGAAGTAACATAATGCACCAGATGAGTCCACAAGTAACAGCAATGACAAATTTGCCCTGGGGGCTGTAACAAAAATATTTGGATGGTGAGAATGGCAGCAATGTTTCTGTAAACCTGAAAGTCCATTATGGCTCTTCCACCCTATCATATTCTTGTTCCATTCTGAAAAGAAGTATTCTAAATGCATGATTTTCCTGTGGGAAAGGCCATGTGTTGTGATTCTGAAGGAGCATAGGCTCTAGTACTGGCCAGAGAAATAAGCTTCCATAAAAAACCTCAGCTTTCATTTTTCTCCCTACATTTGCAAAGATGGGCTTGAAAGCAAAGCCAGATTCATTCCTCAGTAACATTTCTTGTGGGTAGAAGGCATCACTTTAATGTACTAAATAGTTTTTTGCCTCGCCCTATCACTTGCACAGGTGGAATAAATTAAGCAAGAGTTTGCCTATGTGCTTCATATGCATCGTTTACAGTTCACGAAACTGCTTTTCATGCAAAATTTGGGTTTCTTTAGCATTTTTTTCAATGCACAGAATTGCAGGTTTGTGAACATCTTTTTTGTAAATGGGTTTCTCAGAAGTGATGCTTAGTTTAGGAAGAGTTTTCCAACCTTATAACAGCCTGGATTTTCCTTCTTTACTGTAAGAAGTTTGTGGCATAAATTTGAACAATGTCCATTGTGGTGCTTTTGTGAAGTCAGCACCAAAGTTAAGCGAGACTGAAAGACCTTTGCTGTATGCATTTTTCCCACAATCCTCTTCTGAAGTGGTTAATCCTTCCCAGTTGTAGGTTGTGGTGCATTTAGACCTTCTTTTAGAAATATCCCCCGAATCCTGTACCCTGCATGTATTGCCTTCAATTTACTGAACTCTTGGAATTCTAGCTGGACGACATCACTCCTTCAGATTATTGATCGTGTTCCTTTGTTTTCAGCATAGCCTTGGCAGGGTTGTGGGTCCCCTCAAAGCAGTGGGAAATACCATGTTTGTGACCTTGAGAAGAGGTTGTTTCATGTAGCTGGTACCATGCAGTGGAGTAAGCTGTCTTGTATAGAGCACTTCCACACTTCGTTAGATACCAAGAAGATCATAACAGATAATATTACTTAACTTCATGAAGCTGTAAAATGCCCTGATCTGTTTCCTTATGGGATCGAGTTTGTAAAAATTGAGGACTTGTGTCACTGGACCACTGAAGACTGGAAATATGACTGGAGAAAAGAGTTGGTAAAACCTGAAGTGTGGAAGATTTGGGAAAGTTCTATCTTTCTAAGAGTCTCTTTCTCTGACCCTCCCTAAGATGCACATTCAGGGAAATCTTTGGGCGCATTTCTAAGGCAGATAAGCTTTTCAGGCCTCATATTGGTGTCCTTATTTCATAAGCCATCAAGTTCCTCCTCAGAGAAAAGTTGAGCATAATCCATATTATTTGGTATTCAGTTTCTTTCTGAATATTTAACAGCAGGAGGTAGCCCTGTTCCCTACCACAGAGTAGGAAAGAAATGCACTTTTTACACTTCAAATTCAAACTGTGACTTCTCTACCTTGAAATGTTTTCCTACTTTTACAGGTGTTGTGTTGTAACTATTAACTTGTTTTATTAAGTTGTTTTATAAATGTCTTTACCCCTCTATTTGTTGTCTTAGTTACTTTTAGGTAGTAATGGATCCAGCAAGTCCAGGAATTTTGCTTTGTTAACAAACTGTGTGTAAGAACATTTCTAAGTCTGAGATTAGAATACACAGTTCTGAAATAATGTACAATTCTGCTTCATATTTATTTTAATTCTAGGTTTTTTTTAAAAAAAAGTACAAAAACAAAGGGGCAGATACATTGTATCCAAAATTGTATGCTCTGCTTTTGCATAATCCACAACAAACTAAGTGCATGCAACAGAATAATTATGGTTTACTTGATGACATTAAAAAGATTTAAAAATTTTCAGCAATGGGGAAAAAACATACTAGATATATTAATTGTGGTGGCATCCATATCTGTCTACTGTCCATATACATTTTGTTTTTACAGGGTGTCAGAGGACATACCTGTCCTAAAGAGTTTGCATTCTAAATTTGACACTAGAAACAAAGGAGGTAGAGGCAGGGTAAATGGAAATTATCTGTCCATTTAATACATCCTTAGGGTTGATTATACCGCTGGTTGTATGTCCATATGCCCATTTGCTCTGTTCATTTACAAAAATCCTTTTGCAAGAGGGAGTTTGAAAACAAGCAAATTACTCTGTTTCAGCCTAAGCCCCATAATTTCTGCTTCTTTGCCAGTTTCACTATCCAGTATTTCCATTCTTTGCAGCAGTACATTTTATAAGAAGACAAAATTGTGAAAATTAAGTCTGAAAAGCCATTTCTTCTGTGCTTCCCCCTGCACCATCTATATCTTTGTTGCATATTTACTTTTTCTCTAAGATTTTCTCTTCGATCTATGCTGTAGGGACATTTTTTCCCAATTACTAAGTCCTGTGCCCTTAACCCCTGCAAATATGGAAGGTCATGGGTCAACTAAGCAGATATGGGGGTCCTGCTGTAGAGCAATGTCTTCTATTTTTATGGGATGGAGCCCAAATAGGTTTATGGGTTCCCCAAATTACAAATAAACAGGGATGGACCTACATGATTAACAGCTCTTCTAGCTTGTTCTTAAATAATGAGCTAGATTGTTTGGTTTCCAGCATGTCTAGATTACTGTAGATTATTGATTGGTTTCCAGCATGGAACTGCTGTGGCTGAGATACCTTGACATGGTTATTAAGGATTTGAATGATTTTCCAAACTTTTCTTTTGCTGTTCCAAGACATCTAAGAAATATAAGATTACTTGTGTAACTTAAACAGAGCATTCAAAATTAAAACTGCATGCTGCAGTATGGGGACAAAAACTAGTTAAAAGGCAAAGTGTTTATTAAATATTTGTGGCATGCCCAAAACTAGAGAAGTGCCTAAAGAAGAGTCTGGGCTTTCTTCCTCTTCCTCTTTTGCCCAAGCTTAATCTAAAACAGAGACTGTAGAACTAAGATCTAAAGAGCAACCCATTGTATCTTAGGTAGTGTTTTGGGGCCCACAAGAAACTTCGGATTCTTAGCTCCAAGGTCCGAAATGGAGCTCCAACTATCAAGCTGGGAATTTGTGCTCAGCCCCCTTAGAGAAAGGGGAAAGAACCATGTCAACTGTGTCTCTGAGCATGAAGGGGGTAAAGGAAGAAGGAAGAAGATCATGGAGGCCAAGCTATGATGCACTCTGTGTCCTCTGCAGCAGCTTCCCACCATCCCCAGCTGGATGATCAAAACCAGCTGTCTAGATTACTGTAGAGCAGGAAGATAGAGATTGCGCCTACCACTTCTCCAGCTCTGCATAGGATGCTCAAGCCTCCAGGTTTGGAGGCCCACAAACAATGAAAGTACAACCCTTATCTTAGGCAGTTGGATATTTAAACCTATATGCAGGGGAGGGTTAGGAGAAACTTTGGTTAATCATTAGAAAAACCTTTATGAATATGACCAGCTGGGTAGGAAGACTTGACCTCCTCCTGAAAAAGTGTACAAAATCATTTGTCAGTTGTCATTGTTCTGGATCCTATTGTTGCTTTACAACCCTGGAGTTCCTTCCTGAACTAGCCACACTGGGGCCAGCTGCCCCAGAAGTGTTTCAATATGTAGAGCACTGGTTTCTTGTTCCAGTGTGCAGCCACTTTTCAGTTCCCTGTGGCTTTTTTATGCTTTAATCTTTGTAAATTTTTTAGAGCAGGATGTCTGGCTTGATAGCCAGCTGCCCTGCTCCCTGTTTGGGCATCTACCAGCTCCCAAGTGCCTCAGCAGCACCTCAGAGAGCCTGCCAGGACTGCTGACTACTGTAAAAAAATCATTTGCCCAGAAATCTGTGCACAAGCATTACTTTAACTCCCATTAGCACAAACATGCTCCACTTGCAGGAGTGCTAATGAGAGTGTTTTGGGGGTGTTATTGGGTCCCTGCCTAGTGCTGAACAGAGACTTGAAAACCTTCCCTCACTCCAGGATTTTTTTTTTTTTTTTTGATAAGTCAGAGGAGCAGACTGATAAAGAGAAACCGAGGCCATGTTTTCAGCAGTTCCCCCCTCCTCAGGAAGATCCTCAACTTCTATCCCCTTCTTCTTTCATGATATTGGGTGAGGCACCCTCACATTCTTCTCTGAGGTATCAAGTGTTTCAACACCCCCCATGCACACGCACGTGCGCGCGCGCGCGCACACACACACACACACACACTCTCTCTCTCTTTTAAAGGAAAACTTAAGTTGACAGCTAACTAGCAACCGGCTGCCAAACTCTGCATCCCTTCAAAATTTGGGGAAGGGTTGGGTGGGGTTTAGGAGGATTTGTACTAAGACATACTGCAGAGTAAGTCCAGTTGCTGTCCTCAACTTGCCCCTATAGATCTATTTTAAAGGAATCCAGAATATGACAGCTACCTGTGCCACTCATTTTCCCTTTTAACAAATAGCTTAATGGTAATTTTGATGTTTTATTCCTGTGGCCAGCATGGCTACATTTGTTTTTTGTTCTCCTATCAGATGCTGCGCAATGGGAATGTCCCTGAGATTAGGCCTCCAATTTTGGATAATAAGAGACTGAATAAAGGGGTGGGGGGAGAGAGAGAATATTGAGATGGAGCTATGCATTCAGTCCTGATGTCTGCAGTCTGTGGAACAACACTAACACTTTCTGTCTTCAGCTGTATATTAAAGCTTTTTGATGCAAAGAATCTCTGGGATAGGAGGACAATTCTGGTTCCATCAAAATCCTAGTCACAGGCAAATTACCAACTCTTTTAACTAGTATAATGTACCAAAGTTAGAATCAATACCTAGACTATGGAATGGGGCAGGGGGAGACATATAGTCACATTCCAGATTGCAAAACTAGAAAGACTCTAGCTGGTGAAGTTGCCTTGGAAGCTCTTATATTTCTCCTATATTCTTTATAAATTGTAGCCCGAAAAAAACGGTAACTGTAACTGAGATTCCCTTTAGGCTTTTCAGGTTAAAAATGTTACTATGGAGCTTTATTCTCCTCAATATGGCTTCTGATATCAGAAATAGCTGTAAAAATAATTGTGAAAACTATAAGTCCCTGAAATTACAGCCAGACACACAGAGTCACCACAGCCCAACTCAAGAGCACTTCTCAAAAATGTGAAACACCATGACTATCACTTACCTAATCTGAAATTAATATTGATTAATGTATATTCTTCACCCAAACCATGGTAAACATCACACTAGCATCTTGAGGACAAACCAAACTAAGGGATAACTGCTCTTTCAAAAGAAAAAAAAATCAAGTGGCAGAAAAGCAGAGGTGAGCCCAAAACAGTCTGTGATCACTGTGGGAGAGAGGAAGCTTCTACAAGCCATTCTCAAGTGCTTCTTGGGCACACTTGGGGCAGCTGGCAAAGGCAGGCATCTGGAGGAACCTTCAAAAAATTGCAAGGATTTTTTGCACTTTTGCCAAGTGGCTATGAAGCAGCTTGGATTCCCCCACAAACGAGTGTGTCATTTGGGCTTGGATGACACAACCACCCATCGTGGGTCAAACAAGCCCTACAAGATTGTCAGAGTGACTTATAAACCAAACATAAGGCACACTGACAAAGCCATCACAGGTTTGGACAGTATGACAACCCACCATTGCTTACAAGCCATAGTGCTTTACCATGTTGTGCAAACCTAGTCAGAGTCTTGGCAGCAGTTCCCCACCTGTAAGCAATGCTCATGTTGTTGTTAGGCACAGTTGCCTTGGGTAGTTTGATCTTGGCTGTCATGCAGGGGAAGCAAATGATTATTGTTGTATTTTTACTACAGGGTTGGTGACGGAATGGATTACTAATGGGAATTTCTTCATTGGGCATCAGAATTATTTGGCTGATCTTGTCTCTTATGATGGCACACAGTGTCATTTGCTGCTGTACATCATGCAGGAAGAGCTCTTTGCCTGAACTTCATGCTATTGACAGCCTACCTACCAAGTATATTTGAGCACACCAGATCCCACGAGAGCTTTTCTGACTTGAATTTGTGGACACTGTAGCTCCAGATTTTGTAAGAAACAAATCCTGCTGGATGTAATGATATCCTCTGGAGTAAGCATGGATAGGATTGGTGATAAGGTAGCTACAACACTGGACAACTTTGCAATATCTTCACAAGCTAAGTGTGCTGCTAAACAGGGCATTTACTGACTGTATGCACACATAATGACAAGTCATAGCAGGAATGGCTTGTTGCTATACGTGACTACCTGAAACATAGTGAAACATGGCATGCTTAGGTACCATGAATCACCACAGAGAATCAATGGTTTGTTCCAAGTTTTTCACGCTTCAGCATTGCTTTTTGTTGCATGTGAAGCTGGTGACAATGTTTTCCTGTGGTTTCCATTTCTGCCAGTCAGCTAGGAGGCAAGAGCCAGCTCCAGCTACCATTTTTCACTGCCCTGTTTGCCTAGCAACAGTTGAGTTTCAAGCGGGCAAAGTGTTGATTGACTGTCCCCTTGACCTCCCAACACATGCTCCCCAATTCCCAGCCAGATGGCTGAGATGTCCATCTTGTCCACCTGGCACCACCATGTTGCCATGCCCCCA